ACGAACTCGCCGGCGTGCTGGTCGGTGCGGAACACCGGCACGCGGTTGTTCATCAGGATGTTGGGGTTCATAATGGTCACCAGCTGGTGCAGAAGATCGGGCTGCGAGGAGAACAGCTCGGGCGCAGCTTGCTTCATTGTCTCCTCGAACTGCTCGGCACAGGAGCCCGGCACGCCGTACCAGGTCTTCGGTTCACCCCAATGCAGGTAGTTGATCGAGTAGCTCCAGTGATCCTCGTTGTGCCAGCAGAAGGCAGCGAAGCACATGCCCACATACATCCAGGGCGCGTTCATGCCACTGATGTCGGCGTTGATGTGGCCCAAGATCGAGTCCTCCAGCAGCGGTAGGTTGTTTAGGTTCCAGCTGGACTCGGCATACTCCTGGTCTCCCGGCAGCAGATACAGCGAGCTCTTCGTGGGGAAGCCAGAGCCGTGATCCATTGTGTGAAGGTCGGCGCCGTACTCGACGGTCACGTCCTCGTCAATGGAGGACACTATGCGCCAGAACTCCCGTTCGACCATCTCAGTGGGCACCAGGTGCACCGGCTTGCGGAAGTACTCCTGCTTGAACTGATCCGCCATCTGGCCAAACTGCTGGAGGGTGTACTCCCGCTCTGCCTGTTCGAAACCGAATGCCTCCTGCGGCTTGCTAACTTCCTCGACTACGCAACGCGGACAGAGCCACTCTCCTGAAGGAATAGGGAGAAGGAAGGTTATAGATAGCGTCGCCATATCGTGGAATCATTTCTGAAGAATACTCACCTTTGGGAATGCTAGTCAGTGGCGGCAGCAAGCAGAAGGTGTGGTAGCTATCGTCGCATCCGTCGCAGAGCAGCATCGACTCCTCAACGTCGCCGCGGTTGCAGATGTGGCATATGTACTTCATCAGTGGATCGACGATGAGCGGCGGCTGCTCACAGCCCTTCTTCTGGCTGGCGCCTCGGGTGTTGGTCGGCATGCCAGAGCCCGGAGTGGCCGAGTTGTTCACGGCGTTGAAGCTGCTGAGCAGGTCGCGCTTGAACTCCTCCTTAGTTTCCGTCTTGACGATCATCGGTTTGGTTCCCGAATTGGGAACGTTGGGGACGCTGAGGCCGCAACTGGCGCTGGAGTTGCCGAAGCGCTTGGAACGCCGTGTGCTGGTCTCGTTCGGCGGTGCAATCTGTTGACGAGTGGGTATCTCGTGGGCCTTGTAGTCGGTGCCGCCGCCGTCTTCCAGCTTGACGGGAGTTCCGCCCACACCGGCAGCTCCTCCCGTGGGACCCAACACCTTGCCGGAAGTGTACACCTCGAAGGGATGCAGAATGCGTTCGTAGTGCGCTTTTAGAGTGGCGCCTACGCTCTTGCTGGAAGGATACTGCATCCGGTTGGCCACCTTGGCCCACTTGCGGTCCTTGGTGGTTTGCTCCATGCCGCCTTCCTCTTGGACGATGCGGTGCAGCGTGTACAGGTCGAGGGCCTTGCGTTCCACCATCGGGATCTTCAGCGAGGAGCCCTGCAACTCCCAGAACTTGGCGATCTGGTCCAGGAAGTTGAGCTTGACCCGCGTCTTTGCCTCCAGCTCGTTAAGCCGCTGAACTCGCGGCACAAAGCGAAGCTTGTCCACATCGACAGCGAACGGAGGCGACCAGGTGGTCGGCGGCAGGATCTTGGCAATGCCGCATTTCTCGGCCACGGACCGAATCTTGCTGATGTAGGCCAGCGGGTTCTTGAACTCCTCGGCAGTCGGCCGGAACACGGGGCACTCCGGCGGCGTGTCAAAGTGGAACTCCTCGTTCTTGTTCTGATCGAACTTGTTGCTGCTGTGCGGCTGGGTGTGGACTGTCTTCTTGATCCCAGTGGGTGTGGGCGTTGGATGGGGGCAGCTGTTGTGATACTTTTTGCTGGCCGAGACGCTGCTGCTGGCGTGATTCATCGGCACGCTGGGCATGGGTCGGTCCACGGCTGCCGGCGTTGTAGCTGTCGTTTGATTGGCTTGAGATCCTGCTGCTCCTGCAGGCGTTTGTGGAGTTGGCGACTCGTCGCTGGTACCAGATTTCTTTGCGGAGTCACCGCCGCTCGTCGTTCCATTACCGGTTGAGTTACGAGTGCGCAGGCGACGTGCCGGAGTCGCTGTTCCGTTGGCAGATACACTGCCAGATGCTGAAGTGCCACTATTGGCGGCACCGCCGCCACCGCCCGAACTGGCGGCCGCCGTATTGTCCGCCTCAGTTTTGGCGGACATGGTTTACAAAATCGTTCAGTTTCGTCTTATTCCCCTCGCCTCTGGAAGGAATAAAGGATCTGGGTTTAGTTCGATAGCTTTCAGTAAATGATTAGTAGATGGGATTTCGATCTCCAATGGAAGGGATGGAAGCTGTTTGCTTGCCGATGTGGCAACTGTGATTCCATTTTGAAATTGTCACTAGGCTGGTGGAGTTGCCTCTTGTGATGAAATTGTGGACAGTTGTGGAAGTTTTTTGGGAATTTAACATTGAAATCAAAGCAATTAGACACAAATTAATTATAGTATTTTTAACAAAAAGCACCGGCTAGTAATACTTTATTGGATAAGAGGGTTGTAAGGGTTGGCGGATTACTGCGTATGTGTTTGTAGGTTAGAATTTTTTTCGATTGAAAATACTTTTATTTCGGAAACCAAGCCTGGCAAGTCCAAGACTCCTATTCAGGCTCCAATAATTTTATATATATTTTTGCCAACCAAGAGGTTAGTGATGGATTTGTTGCATACAAAAGTGGTGTGTATAACATGGCGACCAATAAACTTATTAATCAAATGCCCCCGAAGCGGATGTGCAAGTCCACACGACGACTGTGTGTGGGGGCCTGGTACTGTAACTGTATTATTGCAAAACATTGCAAGACTTGCAAGGACTTGTTGTTTTATTCTCCCACTCACACTCACTCACACACACACTAGCAAACTTCACTCAAGCCTCAGACAGAATGGGGGGGGGAGAGGATAGTACCAGTCGATGAATGGCTGAAACGGAAACGAAGCCATTTTGAAAAAACCGTTCAGGTTAAGGTTTCGGTTTTTGATATTTGTTACATTTCCCCCCCTCCCCCACACCCTACAGATAAATGGCTGCTGCTGATGGCAGAGCTTTAGTGGTGGTTGTAAGCAGCGTTAGACACATACACACTCGCAAAACAAATGTGGGGCGCACCACCATCACCACCACCACCACCCTAGAGCCCGTGCGGCAAGGGAGTAAAAGTGGGTGGGGAGTGCGTACCGACCGTATATGCTTATGGAAACTCTCGTACGCTTGATCAGGAAGAGCCTGCTCTCTCACTCTCTTACAGAAGAGAGACGTCGGCCGTCGGTCGAGTACCGTTTTTCTGTATCACAAGTGAGCAAAGTACATCATCGGCAGAGCCGCATGCTGCGCTTACTGCTCTTGTCGGGAAAATGTTTACCCCAATTTGTGGAGCTCCCCCGAAACTGATACTCGGTGACCGACCCGACCAACTCTACCTCGTTCGAACCTCAGCCGGAAAAGGATTCTTCTATCGCTACCGCTTTATTGATCGCGTTGCAAGGATTGGGGTATCGGGGGATAGGGGGGAAAAGCGAGCCTAAGCCAAAAGCTTCTTTACATAATTTTCATTTTCAGCCGAACACACACACACACACACACACACACAGCGAGAGGCATGCAGCTTATACACGGATACACACAGGTACTCGAAAACAAACACACGCGTACACACGTCGAGTACATATATGTACAATACATACATACGGTTGGGGGTTTAGCGAAATTAGTTAGCACTACTTTTAACTATTTTTTTTATTTTTTTTGTAAATTTTAATGTTTTTTTTTTTTTAATGACTGCCTCTGGGGGGCAACGTGTTGGCAGTGCCACAACAAAAACAGAAACAGGCCCCGTTGACGCTCTGATTTTTACGCATTTCCACTGCCATATTGCATATTAACCAACTGCCAGGTGGTGGAGTGTGTGGGGGGGGAGTACGGAACGGGAACGGGAACTGGCACGGGTACGGGCACGGGAACGGGTACGGACACGGACTCAACCTCGGGAAGGGAAAGCAATGCAGCACTGTACTTTTCAAAGAATCAACTCCCGCACATTCAAACTTTCGGTGGCACTTAGATATACCACAATGTTTCGTGTCATATCGGCGGGCATTATACCCATTTTCCAGACGTGGGATCTCAATATATATTTTTTTTTTTTTTTTTTTTTTTTTGCTATGATGGCGACCTGGGCAGCGACGCAACGCACTTTGCAGCGCTGCTGGCGTATGGACTTGGTGCGCAAGATTCCGTCCACGCTGTGATTTTTTTTTTCTAGTTTTTCACCGTTCTCCACTCACAAGTTGCTTGTCCTAACCTAGCGCCTCCGAATTTGGTTATTATTGGATGGCTTTTCACTTTTTATTACAGATTTTCGCCTGTCGACTGCGCTGCCAGCAGCAGCGACAGACATACAAACATTTTCTCGATATTGAGTGCGGGGGGTTGTTTGCCCTGGTGGCCGCCACAGTGCCTCTAATTTCACACTTTTCCACTCCTTTTGCACACTTTTTCAACCGGGGGGCAGTCTCCTAGGTGGACCAGTGGTTTTTTGTTCGTATTTCGTTGCTAATTAAACAATTTCAGCCATCAGAAGTTCCCACAAACTCACGCACGCACTCACACACAACTACATATGCACAGTCGGGTGCTGGGGAAAAACTCACTGTCGTCATAGATGGTTGCCGCGCACGCTCCCTGAATGATCGAAATGTTCCATAAACACCGAGCCGAGCCCCGACACTTGCTAAATAGCTAAATGTGTATTTATTTTGCTTTTCGCTGATTTCTTTCTTCGATGTCTGCGATGGCTGCTGCTACATGTGTCCTATGTTATGTACATAGAGATGTGAAAAAACATCGATAGAGGTTTCTGTTATGGCTCTGTTAATATTCTGTTAAAGAGTTTATCGATATTTGGAAATCGATAAGATAATGAATCGGCCATTACATCGATAAGACTCCCCTCACTATTAAAAAACAACAACACTTTCACAGAAAAATCAGAAACTCGTAGCCTTTTGTTTTCTTTTTGTAGCCAGTTGCCAACAAAGTTAACCAGCCCAGTTAGACCGCGATGCCAGCAGTGCGCAAATACCGGAGGGAAACTAGCGAGATAAGCTGCTGCCTGAAGTACCTGCTCTTTGCCAGCAATGTTATTCTCTGGCTCTCGGCGCTGTTGGTCCTTTCTATTGGGATCTGGGCCTGGACGGAAAAGGACATGTTCCGCAATATCACGCGGCTTCATTTCATCGCCCTCGATCCGGCCTTTGTGTTGATCATACTGGGCGGGGTTACCTTTTTGCTAGGCTTCATGGGCAGTGTAGGTGCGCTGCGGGAAAACACCTGTCTCCTGGGGGCAGTAAGTGGTTTGGTGATATTTCAAGGCTTTGTAATATCCTTATTTTACCTGCAGTATGCCATATTTTTGAGCGTCCTTCTCATAGCGGAGATTGGGTTTTGTGCGCTGGCATTTGTGCTCAAGGACAAGGGCTGGGTGAGTTTCATTATTCACCTTGATTTGGATAGATGTTTACAAAATAATCATGTGTGCATGTACAGATTAAAGACCAGGCTACGGAGGGTCTAAAGGCGTTCATTCGTCACTACCGCGAGGATGCCGACCAACAGAATCTTATTGATTGGATACAAGAGGACTGGCTGCAGTGCTGCGGAATTGACGGCCCCAAGGACTGGGACAGCAACAACTACTTCAACTGCTCTTCCATCGCCATTGGGAGCAGAGAGGCTTGCGGTGTGCCGTTCTCTTGCTGCCGGCGACGCCCCCAGGAGCTCATCAAGAACAAGCAATGTGGCTACGATGTTCGAAAGGAGGGATACGTAAGTTAATTGGTTAGATTATCGAGTCCTCGAAAATAGTAGGCTTCACTGACATTTTTACGCAAGCAGCCAGTGGATAGGAACATACACGAGCGCGGTTGTTTACGCGCTGGGGAGGATTGGCTTGAGGCGCATCTAATTAGCGTGGCGGCCTGTTGCGTGGGTCTGCTTGTATTGCAGGTGCTTACGGAAGATCTTTAGAAACCCAGTAGTCTATATTTGTTCTTGTTTTATCTCAGTGTTTGTCATTTTATTTACGAAACTAGATGATGATAATGTCTTTAGTTTATTCTTTAATCTTTTAATTTGTTTTCCTTTTGATTTTGTGTGCCAGGGCTTGGAACTTTCAAAGATAATCTATGAAAAAGGATGCGTTCAAGCTGGAGAAGAGTGGATGGAGCACAATTTGATTATTATTTCGACATCAGTCATTGTTGCAATGTTTTTCCAGGTTTTTATTTACATTTTTATTTGAAACTTTAATTCGTCATTAAGAAAGTTATGGAAAAAACTAATTCTTTGCATTTTTTCCCACAGATATTGGGAATTTGTTTCGCACAAAATCTACGTGCTGACATCTACACCCAAAAGTCAAAGTGGCACTGACAAATGGGTCTTGCTGCCCCCACAGCACTCTAGAAGGACTAATATTGGCGGTAAATCTACGAATCAAAAAACTACTAATACTTATCTGCCCAATCGCTCTTATATACTATATCGGAGTTAACATAGCAGCTTACTATCGAAACGACATTTGAAGAATACAAGGGGGACTATAATTTATAAACAATCTAGTAGGAATATAATAATTTATGAATCTCAGTCATCTTTTTCGAGATTATGTATAGGTTGTTTAAAGATTACAAGTCTCCTCGCACTATGTTTGCTGCGCGAAAATGATTTCAACTTAGCTAATGCGAATTCATTCCGTCTTTGTGAATACTGACTAAATACTAACTAGGTTGCCAAATTTTTTCTGTTATTACTTTGGCTTGTCTTGGCCAACATAAGAACTTAACGAGATTACAATAGCTAAACATTTTGAATAGATTTTCTATACGTTTTACAATGGAATGTAAAAGATGGTAACGGAGAAACAAAAATTTTAACTTGAAATGCAGCTGTGATATATTATATGAAATGTATAGAGAAACAAAACATGAAATATTGTATGCAACAATTTTCAAAATACGAAACGAAAATAATAATGTGAAACTCTTTCCTAAACTGAATCAACTACTACTCAACACAACCTATCACACCACTATGTCAGTTTTTATATAAACGAATCACAAACTTTTTTGTGTGGGGGCACAAAATGCACAAAAAAAAGTACACACCAGAACAAAAACATTGCAGCTTGCTTAATGATTTTAATGACCTTAAAAAATGCTTAAAGATACAAAAAAAAAGATGCTAGCTTAACGTGAAAGCACATATGCGTATATTTTTGAAACACAGAGTTAAGAAAATGTATTATAGATTCTCTTTAATGATAATTTTTTATATGCAACATTTTTAATGCGCTTAAAAGAGGATAGAATACGTTTTTCTTTTACGTGGCAAGAAAGTTTTTTCAAAATAACTATTATCCAGGCGTTAAAATATTTAAGACGCAGCTTTAAAACAACCGCCAATAATCCACGAAAGAAAAACTAAAGACTCCAGATTAGTATTTCACTGCCCAGAACAAAGTATTCAGCTCCAACTTTTTTAAAAAGCTGGAAAGTAAATAAATACTCTATAATTTCCTACCGACTTGATGTTCTATAGACATCTATGTCCAAAACCCTGCCCAGAACAAAGTATTCAGCTTCTGGAAAATAAATAAATAGTTTATAGTTTCCAACCAGACCTAAGATTCTATAGACATCTTTGTCAATAAAATAAATAGAATATCTGGTCAGACCCATTTCAAGGACTTAATCGAAAACTATTATATACAAAAGTACTCAAAAATTACATTCCAAAATGATTAATTTTTTTTTGAATTTCCATAAATTTTACAAAAATACGAATCTCTATTTGCCAATCAATCTTTTAGGTATTACATTGAAACAAATATCTGAATCTCCCTTTGCCAATGATTTAAAAAATAAACCTTTAAAGAAATGTCCGAACAAGTCGATTATAAAATAGATATGACTGCAATTATAAACTAAAAGTAATTAAATATAGATAATAGTAATAACTAAACGTCAATTTCAATTCAAATGAAACAAACGAGAGTCAGTCAAGCACATTAACAATTTATTTAAATAGAAAATAATGGGTAATGATAAGAACTAGAAAATGTATTATATAGCTTAACAAAGGTTGTTGTGCAAATATCAATCAAAACTGCTTTAAATAAAAAAAATCATGAATAACAATCGATGGCGCATTATTTGAGAGTAACGTCTCCGGACTGACCATCCAGCTGGGCCACTGCATCGAACTGGACGGCGGGCAGATCGGCACCGTTGGCCGTCTTATTGGCGCGCTGGTACTCCAGGATGACAAGAGAGTTGTCTCCCACCTTGAGGATTTCGTTTGGCACATATAAGGTAACCTGGGGACCGGCTACAGGCCAGTAGCGTCCCAGATTGAAGCCGTTCACATAGGCCACACCCTTGCCCCATCCAGCCATGTTCAGGTAGGTATCGCCCACTTCACCCACCGTGAAGGTGCCTGTATACACAAGGGGTCCGTTGCGCAGGATGCGTTGCCTGGCCAGAAACGAGTCCAGGTCTTTTTGGGTATTACGCTCTTGGCGCCAGAGCTCCACAGAGGCTTGGTCGAGCGGAAAGGCCGTACTCCTCCAGTTCTCCAGCGGTAAGTAGCCACCATTGTGTAGCTGCAGGCTTACATCGCCGAAAATGCCCTTCGTGTCGTTGGAAATATAGAAATTAATCCTTCCCTGGTTTTCCACAAGCAGCTGGAGAGTGTTGCCCCAGCCTTTACTAAGTGGCAGAGAGTAGATCCGGGCCTCGCGGGATAGAGTGCCCACCAGTTCCTGGTCGACAAAGACGTGCGCACGGTCATTGATCTGATCCACCTTGAGGAGGGCAGGGTCTAGGTCCATGGTAGGAAGCTCCGTTTCGTACAGTACCAGTCCCGAATACTGATCAAGTTCCTCAAACGTTTTGGGCTTGACCGACTCCACAGGATCGCCCTTGGCCAGGGCAGCTCTTCCCTCTGCCGAGAGCAGGGCCAGCGCGGGAGTTACCTCCACCTTTCCATAGGCTATGCGCTTGGCAGAACTCAACGTTATCTCGGGCAACGTCAGGAACTCTCCGATTACAGCCTTGACTTTGTCGTATTTGGAGGTCACTCCACCGGCTTCATCCATCACCGCATCATAGTCATAGCTGGTGATATCCGCTGCGTAACCAATCCCTCCGTCCAAATCGTAGTTGGCTCCGGCAGTGAATCCGAAGTTGGTGCCACCGAAGAACATGTACAAGTTAACGCTGGCATTGTAGCTGAGAATGGTTCTGGGAATACAAAATGGATTTGTTAGAAACTAGAATGGTTTTGGGATTACCAAAAGTCACCTCAATGCATCGGCTACCTCCTGGCCATCTCGCCGTTGGTTCTGCTCCTGCCAATGGGTAAGCCAACCGGGGTAGAACTCCGAGTTGACCAGCGGGCCAGTTGGTTGTTGGACTCGCAACATTTTCCATATTTCATCGATTTCATGAACTGCAGTGGACAATGGAACTGGGATTGGACCAGACCCAAGGGACAAAGAAACAAAGCTCACTTACTGCGATCGATGCCAAAGTCCGTGGTGGCGAACACGTTATCTATTTTTCCACAGCTCATTTTCTCGTTGGGGATATCCACCGTGAAGAGCAGGGCCTTGCCGGACACGTACTTCTCAGTCTCGTCACGCAGCCAGTTCAAATAGTCGTGGTCACAGGCATAGTCTCCGTACTCGTTCTCCACTTGGACCATGATTATTTTACCGCCATTGCCGACCAGCAAGTGCTGGAGTCGCGGCATCAGTTGGGCATACCACTTACCCACCTCGGCAATATAGTCGGGATCGTTGGTTCGCATCTTAATGGAGGGGTATTTCTTAAAGAGCCAGTGGGGAAGCCCGCCCTGAAAGCAATATGAATTCAATATTATAGTCCTTAACGATTTTAGAAATTCCTACGTTATCTCTTTCAGCGCATATATAGGGTCCTGGGCGGAGGATAATGTAGAAATCTTCCTCCTGGGCAATTTCCAGAAACTTGACCACATCAGCAATACCCTCCCAGTTGTACTCGTCCTCGTGGGGATTGTGAAGAGACCATTCCACATAGCTGTTCCACAACGAAATACAATATTTAATTAACTCTCGTTATATACTTAAGTCATAAATAAGATAATATTTATGACTCTCGTTAATATTTAAGTGAAAGCTCTAGGCTTGTATTTACGTATCAAGTGCATTGAGACCGGATGCTCGCATGGTTCGCAATCGACTGCGCCAGGCCTCTGGCACCGCCCGGAAGTAGTGGAACGATCCAGAGACATAGCGGAAAGGCTCTCCGTCCAGCATGAAGCTGTTGGCCTCATGGTCTATGGTGAACCTGGGCTGATCCTGCAGGATGTAGAATTAAACAAAAGCCTGTGGTCATTTGCCAGTGAAACTAACCTCACGACCTTCGGCGCCACTGCCCAGGCCCACACAAAGGCCGACGGTGAGGGCCATCACCGCGATGATCACACAAGCACTCACGGCCATCGTCAGTTTACGTTTGGAGCGAAAACAACCGCTCATTATTACTTGGATGGGACTTGGAAAGCCAGCACAGAAACCAGACTCAAAGCTCGCTCTTTTTTATTCAAGTTTCGGATTCAAATCGTCGCGGAGAAACCGTCGACCGTTCCCCAGCACTGACCGGAGCACAATGTCAAACGATTCCATGGGTAATGGATAATGCTTAATGGGTACTTTGGACGTTCCTTTCCTGGTGGCCTGATAAAGCCTCTGACCGCCTTTCGAGTTGCTGATTAAATTCGCCGGCGACTGTTATTCCAAATTCATTGGTTTTTATTTTTTACGTTTAACCAATTGAGAGGGGTGATCTGAAGTGGTTTTATAATCGAATCCCACACAGTGGGGATTAACAGTCATTACGATAAGTGTTTTGATAATTTCAAATCGTTATACCCTGGCAAAGGGTAATATAACTTACCAAATTACTGAGAAGTATTACTGGATCAGGGATTTCTTTTGTTTTTCTTGAACGAAATTTTCTTGAATTTTAAGCTATTGATCTTAAATTTTAGGATACAAGTCCTAAATAGAATTTCCATTTCAATAATAATATATTTCGATAATCGGATGCATTATTTATTGGATAATAAGTGCCTGAAAAATGGACCATCTAAAGAATTAAATCCATTTGCAATACATATAAAATTGTATCTATAAAAACTCTATAAAGTTCCCCAAAACAGATTTTAGGGAATTGTAGCTATGGTTCTTAAAAGCTATTGTTTATGAAAAAAGTTCAAGAAATGATTCAGATAATATTTCAAAATATGGTATAATATTATACCAATTTTATACCAATATCAAACTTTCTATGTATATTTTGGAGAGCTCCTATATTCAAGCTCAGGAAAAGATCGAACCTTTATCTGAATCTATATATTTAGTTTCAAACGTTTACATAAAAATAAATATTAATATGAATGACCCACAATCGAAAGTATATGAAAATAAAACCAACTAGCGATAATTTTGTATTTCCCTTATTTTTTATTCATTTTCTTTATTTGCATTATCTTTACTGCAGTATCACTTATGTATATAATTGCAAAATTATGTATTCCCAGTGTTCATGGTATGATATATAATTATGCCAGAGTGTGTATACGATGCTTTGATTAGTATATATTGTCCGATCTATAGTAGAATATTTGATATAGTTTAGTATGGATAATTGTTATAGAGAGACTTTAGTAGTGCGTTGAAGTGTGAGTTATCTTCTGGACAAAATAAATATAATTATTGGTTTCTATTTTGATTCCATTTCACGTTGCTTACGCGAGTACATCTAATGTTTTCTTAATTAAGGATTAATAAATATTTGAACTGTAACATAAAGTGCTTCTGTGTTTCTGCTTAATTATTAAATACTCAGGCTGAGGTAGAGACAGCAAGAATTTCAAATTGGCGGAGGGTTAATCGGCAATCGGAGATACATAGTTGTATAGAAACATGGACTCGAGGAATAAAGTGATGGCAACTCATTGGTTACAGAAAGAGGTTATTGACGGGTCAGAGACGAGAGATTATTGCCTATTACTTTCGGCCATCATGCTGAACTTGTCAGCCATGAGGCTTAGCACCTTCTCCAGCTTGCTGTGACGATCCTTGGCCTTGGCCGTAATCCCAGAGCTGCCCCAAAGGAATTTAACGTGGAACTCAGTTCTGTAAATGGGAGTCAAAGGGTTAATGGTTGTTTTAGACTCTAATTTAAAGGTAACTTACCGAAAAGCATCGGACAGTAGCTCATCCATCCTGGTGCTAGCATCTTCGAGAATGATTTTGGCATTCTTTCGATACAGATCCAAGTTCTTCAGGAAGCCACGTGACGCATCCAAGTGCTGGTAGTTGATGGTCATCCCGAAGTCATCTGCCTTGGACTCCCAGGGAGCAATGCAGGTGTGATATAAGGTAGGACGATCGTCGATGTTCGAGTAATTTAGGATGTCCAAAACAGGACGATCGATCAGCAGGGAGTAGAGTAGGACATGGGGAACGGTTGTGTTTGGAGCCTGGGGATTGGAGGCTTCGTTCATACTGCTCAATGTGGGACGCAGCTTGGCCTCGAAGGTGAAGGCGCTGTCCGTGTACTGTTGCCGCAGGATATGCCAGGCCTGATCTAGTTTTTGAATCTAAAGGGGCAAATACAGGCATGTGTAAGTGGATTATATAAGAAATCATTGACAAAGATGATTACCTGTTGCATGCACAGTCCCAACATGATGGCACAGAATCCAAACAGATTTCCCAAGGCTGTCTTGGTCTCCACCGCTATCTGGATCCACTTGCTGAGTAGCTCCGCCCGATCGAGATCCGTTTGACAGGTGAGTATGGTCACAGCCACCATTAGCTTAATGCACTGTGTCCTTTCGATAATGTCCTCCCGAAAGATTTTTCCATGGGGCAGTGTCAGCAGTTCCAGTCCCGAGCAACTTAGATAGTAATCGTCATCGTTGGGAGGTTCATCCAATAAGAGACCAACGTCTATACGGGTAATGTGTTCCGCCAGCAGCTTTGGACCTGTCTCCAGAAGCATCATCTTGAAGGTGTTGAGGGCGTCACCGTCTAGGGGCTTGTTCTCCACGGATGGTAGTAACAGAGTGCTGAAGTTTTCAAAATCAAACTTGCTGGTCTGAGGGAGAAAATAAAAAGATTTTATTGGGAATTTCTATGGCTTGAAAAGAGTGGAAAACTTACTGGCTTAATCTCCTCAATAGCCATGGCGAATAGCTGCTCCTCAGAGGCCAGAGCATCAAAGTCCGTGAAGCTTTTCAATGTCCCATTGGAGGCTGAACTGCTCATAAACCGGGGATTCTTGATGACAACTCCCCGCTGGATGATAACCTCGCTGCCATCGCCAAGGGCAGAGTCTCCCGAGCCGTTCCCCGAGTCGGAGCCACTGGCCTGGTAGGCCAGCACGGCGGCCACCGCCTCCTTGCGTGGCTTAGGGGGCGGGCTCGGCGGTCCAGAGTCCTCTGTCAAGTCAAGGCTACAGTTTCTGGCCAGACTCGAAATTCGGGCCGCTGCTTGCTGACGCAGTTCATGGGCAGCGGAAGTGCTGGTTCTCGGAAGCGAGTGGGTGGAGAATTTGCTCTCCAGGTGCAGCTCACTTGTGGGATTGCACCTGGCAATCGTCTGGAAGCGCGCCATTCCGTTTCCATTGGCGTTGGCCAGGAGCTGTTGCTGCTCCTGCATTTTGTTGATGTTGCTCACCACCATGGCCTGGGCTGGAGTCAGGCTCTGGGAACGCTGCTGCTTCTTGCCTGGCAGTCGTGGAGGCGGTGGAACTTCCCGCCGTGCCCGAGGAGGTGAGCTTTGGGGATTTCCGCCCAGGGGCTGCGGTTGTGGGCTCTCGAAGCTGAACACTCCTGGAACGCTGCTCGGAAGTCCTGCCCCGTTGCCCATGGGCGAGTTGAGAGGACTTAGTCCTCGAAGGCCCGCCAGCATCTGAGTGTGCAGCTGATTTCCCACGATCTTGTGACCATAGAAGGAGAGAGGATAAGTCCGGTTGCATGGATACTGGATAAGTGCTCCTGATGCGGCCGAGATGGGTTTGCCAGAGCCCACGTAAAAGGTGATCAGATCCGGCACCGTGTCGAAGGCATCTTCTTCGAATTGATACTGAATGCGTTCGTAAACAGTCTCCGGTTGAAGGACCAACTGTAATGAGCGATAATTAAGACTCCCGGAGGTTAATCATCTAGAAAATGAACAGTTGTGCATAAATAATTCCCTGTTCGTGTTCGTATTTACTCCTGCCCGGGTCCTGGTACATTGAACCATAAGTGTGCAATTTCAACCATTTAAATGCTTTTTTGCTGGACACTTCCTAATGAATTTAATTTAATTAATTCTCAGTTGTCTCTCTTAGCGGCTTTCTTCGGCAATTTCATAAATATTTAATGCAAAATAATTAACAAACGCGAATGCGAGCCAGAGCGGGCCAAATGCGGAGAGAAAGAAGGCCTTTATTAGAGTATGTAGCTCCCGTCCACACCATATCTTTCCCAATTCTTATCCGATTCTCAAGCGGAGTACCTTAAACGATTTCTACATCGATTCGCCACCATTCTGCATCAAAATCCTGAGACAAAATATTTTTTAGATTTTTTGTCCATTTTTCCTGATGGATCCCCTGAAAATGGGATTTTCCCCTATAGGGCCCACAGCGATGGCTATATCTTCCCCAATCCTTATACGATTTTCAAGCGGATTATCTTAAACTATTTGTAGATGGATTCTCTATAAATCTGCATCAAAATCCTGAGAAAAAATATTTTTTAGATTTTTGCCTACATTTTGGGGTAGGGTACTTAAAGGATACATTTCTAATCATAGTTTCTATGGAAAATAAAGCTCACCTTGTTGAGCACAAAATGCAGAACAGCCGCCTTGCTGCGACAGCTCAGAACATAGTTGTCCGGCTGGGAGGCACAGTCACGGACCAGGAAGTCACCCTCACGCTGCACAATCTCCTCGGCCCTCTGCCGCGGCAGGGCCCCATGATACCAGGCATGAGATCGTAGCTCCCGAGCATCCAGGCTCAGCTCCCACTCTAGAGCCTTCTTCAGGGCCAAGGCCTCCTGTTGATCGCCGGGATTGGGTTGCCCATTGGGCTGTGGAGTGGAGGCAGTGCTGCTGTCCTGGCTGTCCATCTCGGAGTGGCCAGTCATCCAATGCGGGCTGTTGCACTTCGAGCGCGGTCTCAGTTCCTCGTAACTGTGGGATAAGAGGAAATTGTGAGTAAGGAGTGGGTGGGTTATCCTTATTTTGGGTAATTTAGAGCCAAACACGGCCATTCCCCCCAAAAAAGCGGTCTTTGGGATATTTTCTCCCGCGAATTCGAGTCTCTGGTACATGCACAACTTTTTTTATGAAGTTCAAGTACAAAAACACAAACAAGACTAGTTGTAAAAAGTCGTAGTATTCTTACAACAATTTTATAAATGTGTTCATATTCTAAAACTTAAAATAGTAAACTAAAAACTTGTAATAGATTTTAACTAAATAGTGTTTCTTTGTTAAATATCACTCACTTGCTACGCCCATTTTGCTTTCTAATCACTGAAAATTGAGGCTAGGCCGCACCCTATCCTATTATCCTTTAGATAGAAACTTGAGCTTTCTTAAGAATAACTTAAATACTTTTCAATAAAATGTTTTGCCTTATATATTTTTATCACAGAATAGAAATTTAAAAATAAAACTAAAGTTTAAGGCTTGGCGTATTATTTAGAAGTTGTCTGAACTTTGCGACACTTAATTCTGAACTGCTACATCGAAGTCCTTACACCGAGTGCGGTGTCCTTACGGGGGTTGTTGACTGTTGGATATGCTGAACGTGCGGGTTTTGAGGGAAATTTTTTTATGGGGCATGCGCACTTTTTTTGTTATTGAAATATATGCACGTGAGTTAAAATACCAACATGAAGGGGAAGTTGGAAAAGGGATTTTTTTTTATAAGGTTTGCCGGTTATCAGAAATCCCTGATCCCTTCACCATTACTTACATTGTGGAGTGCTCCTCGAACTGAAGTTGCTTAAGAACTTTTCCGCTTTTTGTAGTTATAACACTGCATCGGTTATCATTATTTTTTGCCATTTCGAGTGACTTGTCTCCAAGATAAACCATTGGACAGGAATTTTTGCGTAGTGGTACTCCCCTTGCTCCGGACTCCAAGCTAGCTGATAATGATAGGGCTTTGGGTTGATTAAATTAAGTTATATATTCTATATTATTTATATTCTTACCTTCAATATTCATAGATTGTCGACGTTTAGCCCTCACACCAAGTAGACTATTGAACATCTTTTGGCGATGGGCAGGTCGTATACCACAGCGTTTCAACTCCTTGTCGGTGATGTCTACTACATCGTCCACATTGCTAAACTCCTGTAAGTTTCCTGGTTAATTGTGAAGGATCTTTAGTAGAATTTAGAGCAGAGAATATAGACTAGACTTCCTAACCTTCATACTGCTGGAGTTCTAGAAGGTCCAACCAGTCCGTAATGCTCATCCGGGAGTTGTGGACCATCACGGATAAATCTTCTCGATTCCGCACGCTACTTGGATATCTAAAGTTCCACAGAATACCTTATAATGGTATTCCAAAAATAAAGATACATATATCTTTAAATTAACATCCGATTTCTTTACTTACTACTTCTTCGAGAAGCAGAACCACGATTCTCCAATGGACGCGTTTGTGTATTTCCCATGGCTTGCTTTTTGGTCAGTATGTCTTTTGTTTTTAAACTGATAATTCTTTATAATCTATATGAAATCCACAATTAATCCATTATTTGGTTCAAGAACGTGAGCCACTTAAGCAGAAACTGAACCGCACTCTGGGGTCTGTCGCACGAAACTGAGCATCAGCGGATATATCGCAAGTTGAATTAAAAGAAAGTTTCATTTTCTTAAGACGAATAGATAATACTCTAACCAATAAACTTTTAACTTGAGGATGAGGGGCCTATTTAGTTGAATAGAATAAAAGTATATAAACATTTTCCAACAAAATTTCTAGAATTGTTCAAGAAGATATATATCTTTAACGTTTAAGACAATATACTTCTTCTTAAAGGGCATAATAATAATAATAAACAGTTTATGTGTTATATTTCAATGTCGTGCATCAACAGTTTGCCGCCACTGTTTGTCTAATTACCCCAACACCCTGCCCCATGCTCCCTATCCCGCTTGACCAAGTGTCTATAACCATTTCCCATTCAACTCATTCTAGTGGTATCGGTTTTTATCGTCGTCTTGATTAGAGAAGGTCTCATCGTCGTCGTAGAGTTTCATATTCTGCTGATCGCAGCGGTATTCCCTTAATTAAATTTTCTTTCAATGTTTGTTGTTCAGACTTTTTGCATTTATTTATTTTTAGCATTGCGTATTGCAAATACGGGTGAAATGTTTTTAATAGGAATTTTATCTTATTTCAATAACGAATAAAACCCTTTGCATTCCTAAGCCAATAAGCTGGTCATGTTGGTTAAAAAAAATGTTTTAGTTAGGTCCATTATCTAGCCATTAGATATCATATATCCCATCTATGATCCCCTGAATTATCCCTTAATGTAATTAGGTCTAAAATTATTTAGTTTCTCATAAAATTAAATATGATAAAACTTTGTCATTTAACTTTTTGTTTTTCAAATGGCAAAGATTAGACTTTTCCAAGTCCATTTTTTTAAAGTTAAAGAAATTATTTTCAGAACAGACTTGTTCCAGACTTCGAATCGGTTGTGAAATGGCTAAAATATTCAAACCAAAAATAAGTTAAGAGTTTGAGATTTGGCCATTATCGTATTTTGCTTTGCTTTTCGTTTTATTATTTAAATAAATAGATTATAAATAAAAATCATATTAAAAGTAATCCTATTACAAATGTTTAATAAATTAATTTTTTTTTGCAGTATCTACATTATTGCTAGCGATCCGAATACATCTAAATGGCATTTCTATCGAAGATTTTCGTTCTCGGACCTGGTTACTCCACCACATCAATTTCCATGGTATCGTCGTCATCGGCTTCCTCACTTAGGTCAACACTGGAACAGCTGTCGGAGCTAAAGTCCAGGACTTCTTGGGTGGTTGCACTTGGCTTGGAGCCAGTTTCGCTACTGCCTGTTCCCCCCGAGGCTGGTATGGACTGCTGGTGGGGCTGCTTTTCCTGCCCACTTTTTAGGTTTTCCCTGGTATGCCGCCATTTCATGCGACGATTTTGGAACCACACCTTAACCTGGAAAGAAAATAGGTGAAAGGTGAGTATCCTTGTGGTTGGAAACCCTGTCTCTTCACTCACCTGGGCATCTGTGAGGTTTAGGCGGGCAGCTAGCTTTCGGCGATCGGGCTTGGTTATGTACTTTTGCTGCTGGAACTGAATCTCAAGACCCTTCCGCTGGAGATTCGTAAAGACGGCTCGTGACCAAGAGCGTTTCCGCTTCCCATTGTTGTTGCTACTGCTGCTACTGTTACCTCCTCCTCCATTCGCCTGGTTTGAGGTACCAGCTCCGGCAGAAGCGGATATACTGTCCAATTGTTGCTGGGTTTTGCCCAGAAATCGCTGCTGTTGCAGGCTCTTCAGGCTGTGGTGAAGAGGCGCCAACATCGCCGCTCCTGGAGGAGGAGCTGATGGACTGAGCGGCGGCTTATGCTGCTGATGTTGATGGAAACGGAGCAGGGCGTTGGTGGCCAAAGCGGGGTAGGTGGGAGAGACTGATGGAAGAAAAGATGTTGAAAATATGAGGTTAATATACTATAGGATAGACATCATCTCTATAGGATAATACCAATGGTATAAGTGCTTTATAAACCTGAATTTTTAATATTAAGCCCAAAAGATATTAGACCAAGGAAAAGGAAAGCAATAAGTTATCCCAAATTGTTTTCTTTTTTTTAACTATAAGTCTTATTTTCTTGCGAAAGAATATTTTTTGGAACTCCCACGTATGGCTGCATATTTTACACAATCCCTAGATTATTTATTTTTATAAAGCAAGCCCCGCCATTACTTATAGGGCACATCCTCCTCCACTAATTGCAGAGTATATCCGCGGGAAATAATATATTCTTTGTTAAACTCAATTCACGCATTTCCTTATTTACAGAAATCTCAGTCAAGACAAAAAAAAAGTCGAAAATAATATTATTATTTCGACAGCAAAAATATGAAATTCGAATTCGTTCGTTGTTTGAGTAAATTATTTTGTTCAATGAAGCGCACGTTGAAAATATTTAAATGAGTTTGTTTATAATAAAATTTTCACTTAATTGGAAATAATCATTGAGGTATTTTTGTGGATGCGGGGCGATCTGTTTGTTTACCACGAATGAGAATCAGAACAACAACAAAGAACACCACAATTACCTCTGGGAAGGCGAAAATTATTTGGGGTAATCGAACACGACATGGGGCATACGAGGTTGAGGCCGATGGCCAATACTAAATATTTTTTTGTTAAATGTTTTTTAAATATCTGCGTACCTCAAGTAGGTACAAATACGATTCCTGTTTAGTTGCAGGCATTAAACTAGTTTATGCATTTTTTATTGGTCTTTTCATAAACGAGTTGCTATGTAAATCGTTTTCGTTTTTATTTTCATTTTCGATTTGGGTTCTCGGCATGCGTCTAATTGTTGTGCGGGCCGAGTGTTTTATTTACTCAAGAAAAACACTCTAGGTGTTCCCGTCTATTTACACTGCAACGGAAATGCGTTGCACTTGATACATATGCAGATACAAATATACAGATACAAAGATACATTTCTGTACCTGCATCTACCATAATAACGCCTTAATTGGCCTTTAGGCATTTGGTTTGTGTCAACTATCGGCGGTTTGTTATAATGAGTTTCCAGCCATTTTCAACACCTCCCTCAACTATCCGTGAGATGCACAGGCCCTCGCACAGCGCCAACTTCTTAATTGCCGACATTCAGATACATTTGTAAATATTGAGCGCCAATCTCGTGGCCCGGTCTATATCTTAATGAGTTGTGATAATTTCGAGCCCCCGATCCTAAATCACTCGAAATTCCTCTGCATGGATGCGGATGCATCTTGCCGAGGATATATTATGTGTTTGTGTTTCGTAAATCTACGGTTGTGTTTAGCACTTATGGATTTATTTGCACTCTTTTCCGAATTTATGGCTTTGCGAATACTTTCCGAGGCATTCTTTACGATGAACTTTACGGCCTCGAAAAAGGCTTTAAACCACACATTGTTAACACAAATCTTATTACAGAGTCTTATTCAATTAGAACTCTTTGAACGATTTGAAGATTTGTTCTCTAAAATTGAATAGTTATTTTTATAAATTTTGGCTTTAAAAGGAAGTACTTACAAAAACCTGGAATTTCCTATATGTTTTCTAACAATGTCTAATAGTTATTTTTCCAAATTTTGGCTTTAAAAGGAAGTACTTACAAAAACCGGGAATTTCTTATATGTTTTCTAACAATGTCTGTATCTTACAAATAGATTAGTATCAAATGCTTTTAATAAACAGAAACTCAACTCAGCGAAATCCTGGATACTCATATATAGACCCTCACTTTTGTAAGGTTCATCCAACACATCCAATACTTCAGCGATGAATTTATATCGATTCGGCGAATTAAACCCTTATTAAAACATAAAATTCAATTGATTTATTCTTTTCAAATTTTGTATTAGGAAGATCAAAACCATGTTAGTATCATAAAAACCAATTATTAGGAATATAAAATTAGCAATTTAATACCTTATATGTTTTAAAAATGAATACTCTGCCAATCTGCATCAGAGCTTAAAAAAATCGTATGGTCAATATTTTTGATATTTTTTCCTACGAGAATGTTAAAAGTGTGGGTTACTAATATTGGTAATATTATATGTGATGTAATACTTATTCAATCCCTAAGGAAAAAATTCTTAATCGTTTTGTAGATGGGTTTTGTAGCCTGAAAACCTGAAAACAACATTTACGATCGTAAGTTTCTCCTATTATTTTGTTATTTTTCGAAAAACTGCTAGTTTGATTATTAATATTCTCTAAGCTATTTTATTTTACACAAATTTTCAGTTAAAAATAACTGAATTAAAGAAAAAAAATTCCCTCCTTCTCATAAATACAAGCCTAATACAACTATGTCTGCCACTTTGAAGATTTGGACAAGTGTAATTGATAAAGACGACTCTGCCCTGCTGTTGGGAATCTCAGAAAATATAAAAAAAAGTTTCCAATACCCATCATTGGCCTTAAATCGTTGGCACTGCAGGAGCATAGCTAACAATTGGATTAACATATAAATGGTTAATTAATTAGACACACGGCGCCAGATTGTTTCCCAGACCGCGTTTTCATCACAGATAAATGTTTTCAGCCGCAGCCATCGATCGATCGATCGATCCGTCGATCGGCAGCCAAAAAGCAAAAACAATCAAACAAACTACTCAACACGGAGCGGAACTGGCAACAGAAACAAATACTCAGATACAGATACAGATACAAAGTCAGATCAGTCGGAATATACGGGAGAATGGTATCGGGAGAAGCAAAGTTATCTGGATTGGCCACGATTTTATGACGTGCGATACGAGGCGATCAATCCATCATGGAATGCATCTTCCGAGGGGCAAATGGGCGAAGCAAGTTGGACGCGGCAGGTAGCCAGGCCAGAGGCTTCTCCATCTCCTCCTCCTCCTCCTGTTAAGGCCACCCCAGTGGGTGCCTGTGTAAATAGTTGGCCTTTGGCTTGGCCCCTAAAAATACCGCATTCAATTGCTCAATTAGTCATTCGCTCAGTTCCTCAGCCAGCCAGCCAGCCAGTCAGTGAGTCAGTCAGTCAGTCATTTACTGAAACGGCAGCCTAGCCTCTTGGGTTAAGTACTCCCAAGTTTTCGGCCCGTGTCGTCCTATCAATCTCCCAGAATTACGGTGGACTCAGGCTCCTTCTGATATGCCACATTCTATTTTTCAAAGCCAACATATTTCCAGCGGATCCATTCATTATAGAAAGCAATTAGATGGATAGCTATCTGTATCGGACCATAAATGACGGCCCAATTGCTCAAGCAAATAAACAAATTATTCTCACAATTCCGATCCAATCATCGGCCTTCCTTCCAGGTTCCCTACGCGCCAAGTTTATTTTTAAAGTCAGATTCTTAATTTGTTCATAAATTTTTGTTAATCGTGGTGGTTCTTTTGAATTTAATTTATTTAATGCGTCCGAAGGATTGATGAAACGCCTTCAAAGGCTGTTTGTTTCTTTGCGTTTTCTTCTGTTGATTGAAAGCATTTGGATTCTAATTCTCCTTTCTGAAATGGCAAATGTACCATTTTCATATGGTTCATGGCTCTGTTAATTTGTTATAAATTCATAAATTTTAATGATGTTCTAACAAATCAAGTGGCTTAAGCTATGAGGATCTAAGTGGCTTGAACATTTTTACAAATGGTTCGGAAAAAATAACCATTAAACTGTAAAAACTTCTTGGGATGGGGTTTGTTAGACAACATATTTTTAAACACATTTTTAAAATTAAAATATCATTTTTAAAGGTTTCTTCTGGCTTTGTCGGGAATATATGTACTAACTTTATTCGGAAGTATATTAAATTTGAGGAACATGGTTCGATTATTTGAAAGGACTAAGACCACAAAGTTTTTTTCTTTTAAGAAACCCCACATTAAAAACTTCAACCCTATTGGAGGAAGCTGTGTTCTCAACAAATCTAAACTCATAATGATTTATTTCGTTATAATCTTAAAAAAAAAGTATAAAAAACAAACAAGGAAAGCCAACAAGGCGTATGATATTCATCTTGCTCAATGATAAACAATTTCCTTGTCGACTCCCAATATAATCTATTTGTTTTCCATATATACATAGCCCTTAACAAAAGCATCATTCAAAAATCTATTGAAATATTTTCTTTAGCGGTTTCAACAAACAAACAATGATTATGGTACAGTTGGCCTGGCCCCCAGGAAAATTTCACAATATGGCCACAGATGAACTAATAATTCCAATCAAAAAGAAAACTCTCGATTGCAGTTGTTCTGATCTTAAGAATTCCCGCTTGCTTTTCCGGGAATGCGCGTTTTCCGCTTTCATTTTTCGATTTTCCTTTGTAATTTTCGATTTTCCTGCCATTGGTAATTGAAGTCTATAAATGTGAGAATGAGCTCAAAAGCCCGCCACATTTTTTGATTGGCAAATGCGAAAATTCCTTTTAAATTCCCATTATTAATTGAATGAAAGAGTATGATGTATTTATCAAAATTTATGCCTCAATAAGTTTATTTTTAAACTAGTTAATTAGCATTGGCAGCAAAATTAAAAAACCTTTATTAGTTAACTATTTATACCCCGTACTTTAACCAGACATCATAATTTGTTGCCTAATTATAAGGGCTAATATGGATAATCATTTTATTTATCTCGAAATTATAAAATAGGCTAAAAGTTGTAGGTTTTTATATTTAATATTTTTAGTTTCCTACATACATATGTTTTATATAACCATAATAAGAAGAACCTAAAGTGTAATTATTAATATCTCCTTAAATGTCAGATTGTCTGATTTCTAAACACTTTCTTTTATAAACTCTTATAAAAACTTTTATTCAAACTCCATTCATGCATTCAGGAAAACTTCCCCAAATATGAATTATTTATTTACTCCCACAGAATCTTACCATGATCAGTTGGCCGAATGGGCAATGGCCTCATCACTGACTTGTAATCCGGATACAGGCTAGGATACAGTTTGTCGAGTCCGGCGTAGGGAAACGGATGCGTTGCTGTGGTCTGAACAGGACCTGGGATCGGAACATATCCCATCTTGGTGGCATCTGCACCAGATTGGCTAAAACAGTGAGGATACGAACAGCAGGAGAAGATGTTGCCATCGCAACATGACTTCACGGAGGACGCAGATGGATTGCGATTGCCGCTGGTATCTGCGCCCAGTAGTCTATCGACACTGAAGCTTAGTTTCACTTTAGTGGTGCTGGCAGGGGTGGATGTGGAGGCAGGAACAGGAGCAGGTGGTGGACTAGGGGTCAACTTTTTGGCAGGCGAGTCCCGGCAGGATGGCACTTCGCACTCATTGTACACGTGAGTGCTCAGATTCTCGGGCACACTCTGTTCCATGCTAGCGGCACTCTCGTGAAGTAACATCACTCGGTTATACTCGCAGAATATCAGTTAGACACGATCAAGGAAAGACGATCTCTCCGTTCAATTCTAATCACAAAGGATCACTGTGTACATATGTATTCCATTTGATGGGTGAGATGAAGAAACCGCGAAATTATGGGTTGGACTAGGACCAGCACACCGTCGACTCTAAACCGCTTTGGAAGACAGCCCACACAGAACTGATCGGAACCGGCCCGGCCGGGAGCAAACCCAACAGCGATCGATCGATTGCCGTTGGCGCATACTACACGAAAAAAAGTCTGGCGTTTAGGTAAATCTCACTGGATTGTGTGTTCCTGGTGTTTACAGTGGGGCAAGACTATCAAAGGATTATTTGGAGAATACCAAAGCGGTTTCTCAATCATGGAGGGGTCCCTAAAATAATTCAAGTAACTTCTCACAAATGCTCGATATATATATTATATTTAAAATCTTAAAAAATATATCTTAGACTACACCCACTGTAACCACACACGGCTGAGATACTTGCCATACAGTTTGGTTCTGTCTGTTTACACACAAACACACCGCTGTGTCATTTGCTCGGCCGGAGATTGTTTCCTCGATCGCCGCTGAGATTTGTTTACCGATTTCTCCATATGTTCCTATATTCCCTCCATACACACCATACACACCCATGCGCCAGCGATTCCGGTTCCCATGCGCCCCCAACTTACGGAGTGGCCATGGCTTGGCGGCATCTGGCCAATGCGAGGCATCCATTTCCAGTGGGCGGAGTCTAGCGACACCAAACTCGTATCGGCGATGCGGCATCTCTCTTGCTCTGTTGGCGCGGGGTTAATTGGCGCGGGAATTACCGATCTCCCAGAGACTCCAATAGCTCCAAGCTGTCTACTGCCATTCGGTCGGGGAGCATCCTGAGTGGGTTATTGAGCTCGTAACCCTTTAAAACCCTAATGAAAACCACAATCCTAGAAATGACACCAATCGGAAATAAGAATTGCATGTTCTTACTAATTTTCTGCGCCATTAAGTCATTGTAAGCAAACATTGTAAACTTTAAGAAAGAAACCTTAAGCACGCTACAGTTGAGATTCTTGACTATAAGATACCCGCTACTCTGAATTAAGGAAATCTTCGCTCAAATGTCCTTTTTATAAAAAAGTATGGTATACTGTGTCGTATATTTTTTTTTTAACAGGATAATGTATGCAGAATATGTACATCTTTACAAAAATATAACATAAGAAACCCCTGTATCCATAAGTACCTTTCATAAGAAAGCGAAAATTTGAAAAGTGTTAAACAATATTCGTGTCATTTACAAGCGTTCTGCCGTGACTGACTTTCCCAAACAAACTTTTCGTCATCAAAGCCACCCACCGTATGGATTTGGTACCCAAACCCCCTAGCACCACACCACCAATTGTGGTGGAGGGATATGCAAATGCAATCACAGTAAAAATAAATGGGACTGGGAATCTTACCTACGTTATCGGAATATTGGAAATTGTCTAAAAATAACTATATTTTTAAGAGAAAAAGAAAATATTTGCAATAATTGATTAAGAAGGATGTTGCACTACAAGCTTAGAGTGAGTTCCGTATGTGATTATTATTTTAAAAAGGACATTCTCAAGTCCCAATGAATAGTATATGCTTGAAAAACATTTTCAACGCCTGGCAATATAACTTTTATTTTCGCACGATGTCCAACAAAGTCTTGAAGTTCCTGAAGTAGGGCATATAATAAATGAAAAGGAAACAAATGAAAAGCAACCAAACAACGTAAACAGACACGAAAGCCACTTCTTCTTGAGGGGAACCAAACCGCAACCAAAGCGTTGTGAGGCAACTAAATTTGGGTTAACCAAGGCACAGTACTTCTTGTCTGGTCCGCTTGAAAGGAGTCGTTCTCGTCCTCGTCCTCGTCGATACCGACGCCTTTGCAGCGCAGTGTCAGGGATATGGACATGGATAGTCCGGACATTTGTGAAACCCCAACGCAGGGGGATGAGGAGGATTTTTGTTTTCGATATCCTAGCTATATGTTTCCGGATGTGGAGTATGATAATTTGGAAGTTCCGCTTCCGTTTAAGGCCAGCCCGGATTCACTTTTCAATCTCTGCGCTGCCGTAGTGGATTCTCAAGCCCGTTCTGAGGTTTTCAAGTGGAGTATTAACGATGTTGCCGATTGGTTACGCAATTTTGGATACCCCGAGTATGAGGTAAGGCTAGTGATGTAATGCCTAATCCTGAACCATAATCCTGGGGCAGAATCCTGTACTAATTTTAATCGAATTCCATATATCCTTGCAGCAAACCTTTCGCGAGAACTATATCGATGGGCATAAGCTCCTAAACTTGGACGCTGTCTCCCTAGTGGCCCTCAATGTTCGCAATTTCGAGCACATCCGGCACCTAGGCAGAGGTATCCGGGCCCTTTATCGCAAGGAGTTACAAACGGCCACGGAGACGAAGCAGCAGAGCGAGATCTACAAGACATTCCGGGCTCGTACGGGACGTGGATACGAAGGAATTCGGGAAACGGAACTTTTGGGCCGGATGCACATGATTAGGTCCGTTTTCCGAGATGTCAATGACTGGGATCTCATGGAGCTGCACATGTCCCGGGCGCCAGTGAGACGCTACCGTGAGGTTATAGCTGGATCCCGACGATATAATTTGTATGGTCCTTCGACGGCGCGCAGGGAGCCAATTATAACCGATGATGTAGACGCCTCTCCGTGGTTTGATTTTGGGGATTGTTATTAATTGTTGTTGTGGAAACTGAAGTAGTTTTTTAAGAGGTTTATCATAAGCTGAGTTTTCTTAAAAACATTAAAGAGTTCATCCCTTTATTTATTTTTCAAAAGAACTTTAAAAGAATATGTTCTTGCAATTTAAATTTTAATTTTGGAAATATTTAAAAAAAAATTCCAAATTTATAGTTATTATCATATTTTAAGGATTTTAGTAGCTGGTTTAATTATAATTTTGTCTGCAAATACAACGTTTAATAGAGATAATTAAAAATGTTGCACATAACATTAAACGGATTGTTACTCCAATCATTGGTGGGAATACCAGGCAATTAGGCATTACTTTCAGTAACCCTTTTCATACCTTGTAATGAAATTAGTCTCCAATCACTCACTTTCAATTTCCCTGGCCAATGGACCATCCATCCTGTCCAATCAGTCGTCATGGCACTTATCGCCCTGGTTGTAATTTCTGTTGTTTTCGGTTGTTCCATCGTTGGATGTTGCTGTGTGTGCCGTCTACGTTAGCGTCCGCTCATGTGTTCAAATTTATTGATTGCTCTGCTCACAAGATATGGCGAGTCTGTTTATTTTTTCTCTTTGGACGCCCAGCGATCTCATGGAACGGCCGGAGCACTGAGGACTGAGCCCGGTGTCCAGCTGTGCGGCATGGGAGACATACGTGTGGTCGGCTCATGTTATATTTTTCGACATCTTGTGTGTCCGACGATCGGCTGGCTGGCTTGGCTAGCTGGTAGAGCCAAGCCGAGCCAAACCGATGTTGATACCACCGGTGCCACATCTTGGCGATTACCCAAATGCAACCTTAGACGACGCATCGCTGTGCTGCCACCACCACCGCCCATGCTAATCGTTTCCAGCCTTTATTAACTTATGCGCATTCATATTACCTTAATAACTCGTTCCGTTAACACTTTATAATATTAAAGGCTCATAAATCGTTCCATCACCCGGACATGGTACCGAGTGTTGCGAGGGTTTGCCTGCGAGGTTTCCCCCAAGTGTCCCGAGTGTCTGGGCCTGGTCCCGACATTGGCGATTATGATTTATCGCATTTTCATCAATTTAAAATGTTTAAAACGATACGAATCGGAAGAAATTATGAATGTGATGCTGTCTTTAGGCTCCACAGTAGGCCAACAATAACAACGGCACCAGCAATACCATCGGACCCGACGACGACTCGAACAACCAAAGATCTCCATGGCCTCCGTGGGTACTCGGGTTACCAAGGGTCTTGCAGATGCCTCGAAAATTTACGCGCGCCACATTAGCCACGGCCACGCCACACATCAGGGGCGTATTAAAATTACATGGGTTATTTATATTAATTATATAGATTTAATAGTAATCATTTTTTTCATTTATGTTTTTTCAAAAATCATAATAATGTTTTTACTTTAGTTAAAAGCTAAGCTTTAAAGCTGTAGCTTTAAAAAATGTACAATTTTCACATAATCTATACAAACTATATGTTTTGAATATACTTCTTTTTATACATATATCCCCACCTAGTCCACCCCTGGTGGACGCTATCTGAAATGCATACATCAAGTCGGGGATGGGGGATCGCGTGCTGTGCGTGGACTGGACGAGTTGCGGAGATCGTCGCAAGCCGTAAGCTGTGACGACGGCACAGCGACGATTATGATGATTAAAACTGATAAGCGAAATATTTTTATCATTTCCCAAATTAACATAAACCATACACGATTATCACACAATAAGCTCAGCGTCTGTTGTTGGCCGTCTTCTTCCTTTCCCCACTGCCAATTTGGCTTTCTTTTTGTTCGTTTTTTATGCGCTTTTATGGCCGCCTCTGACTGCGACCAGTTATAAGTTATGGCATTGGCTGTGAATTTTTGGCCTGGCCGTCCAGGCTTGGTCGCGGCAAAAGTGTCAATGGCAGCACCGAATTTATGAGGATTTACTGCCGGTCAAGTCAACTGGCTCGGGTGTTTCGTGAGTGTATCATAAAGAAGTTTTATTCGATTTAATCCTAAGAGTATGGTCTAAAATGGTTTGAAGCGACGCGACTGCTTCAGCAGCTCGATCTTGCGCTTGTCCTCCTCGAACTTCTTGCGCATCTCGACGATATTCTGCATCTTACTCTCACGTATTTGGAAGGTGTAGAAGTTTTTCAGCTCCTTGGTCTTCTTGTCCGACGCCAATTTGCGTTCCACTCGATTGATCACAGACTCCTTCTGCTCGAAGCCGGCGTTTCGGCCATCCTTTCCGACGGTCACCCACCCGTCGGCATCGGCCTCACTGTTTTTGGCCGCTTCTGCTGCCGCCCGTTCTCTTTTGTCGTACGCGATCATGTACTTGCGAATCTGCCCCTTTGTTTTTTCGGCGTTAAGCAGGAAGCGTTTTTCGTAGTCCTCGTGCCAGAGCTCCATGCCAGTTTTGATGGTGCACTCGCCGCTACTGTTGAATAGGTCAATGCTTTTCAAGGCCAGCGCCTTGCCAATGCTGCTGCTCTTCTCGAACACCACGTAAGCCACCTTGAAGACGAAGGGCGGCTGTGCGTTGGAGAAAGGTTCATGGGCGTGCTCATACCATTTTATAGTCTCCTCCTTGCCGGGTTTGGCGGCAAACTCTACGGCTTCGATGGTCCCCAACTGGCTGAAGAACGTCTTAAGGCTTTTCTCGGTCACATAGGGTGGTACGTTTAGGAGGAATAGCGTGCGGCCCTTTGGTTTGTTGGGGTCCATCAGGCGAATGAAGTGCTCCCGCATGTATATGCTATGGCAATGTTGGGCGTCGGGTGCCGTCCGCAGGGGAACCACTAGCAATTTAATACACCATTATAAGGAAGATTATAAGACAGATTAGAAGTTAGTTACCTGTGTAGCCATCTAGTTCAACCATCTTTCAGCTATTTTGGTAAATATTGCCGCAACACGTTTTGTACACAGCAGTGTGACCAGGTTATAGTACCACACAATCCATTTAATACCATTTTCTCGACCTTAAAATAAGGCGATATAATCGAATATATTTAGGTGAAAATATAACAATTTTTCATAAAATATTTATTGTTTATATTAACTGATAAATTAAACTTTTTTATAACAACTTTTTACATATACTCGTTTTTGTTATCGGTTTTAAAATCGATAACTAATACTGCGATATATGTTATTGCATGGGTAGCACTGACAAAATTTAAATTTCTATTTCGTTGTACTTTTCTGGAAGAAATGTTTTTAAATTTATCTTTCAAGTGTTTTAGTGTCTAAAAAATATATAATATTTATGTAACCAAGGGCAATTTTTCCATTCATATAACTAAAGAATTTAGCTTCCACATGTATGTATATTAAACCTTTAATGAATCTACTAAGGAAACCAGGAAATAATTAAACATAAATGAAGCAGGAGCTGGAACAGGAACAGAAACAGGAATAGAATACAGGATCAACCTGGGGAAGCCCTAATGTTTTTGTAAACTTTGCACGTATATTAGTGCTCGTCGGATTTTGTTTTGCGCCTGGTGTCCTTCCCAGCTCCATGTGAGTGTATGCATGTGTGTGGCTATGTGGCCGTTGGCATCAAATGGTCCGAAAACAAAAACTGAACACCACAACACAACTGCATCCAAGAGCACCACACTCCGCAAGCCATTCTCCACCCACCGCCCACTGACCGCAGGTTGCGTTTATTTAACGGCCGCATGCTGAAAGGCGGAAGTTTGCCAGTCACGTTCCTGGCTCAGGGTCCTGTGTCCTGCATCCTGCGAATTGATTCTAATTAATTGAAGACTGAATTTTAATTGTTTTAGACTTAGTCGGTTTACGGAAACTGCATTCTTGCCTACTAATATTTATATGAAGCTTCACCCATTGGAGTCGGAATGCTGCACATTGCTGCAGAAATGTAAATCGTTAATTAAAATTATAGACACAAGTGCTCCTAATTGCAACGTCAGTTGCCATTGGTTTTTGTCCACCAGGGGAGCAAGAAACTGATTGAATAATGTCATTAAAATGCGGTTTGATTTTATGTTTGTGTTCCAGTTGTGTTTAACAAGCGCCAAAAAATGCTAATGATTGTAATCAAGGGTGTTTCTTATGCTTTATTTGGATTTTACTTATATTAAACTAAATTTTATTTTGTGTAGAAAGCTTTAATTAAAGTATTTTTTATAAAAATGCTTATGGAATATTAGCTACAATTGGAATACGAAAAATTGAAAATTAGCAAACAAACAATATTGATTTTACAATTTCCATTTATTTATATAAAATCACTTTCTTACAAATTATAATTATTGCATACAAGGTCGTTGATACTATAATTTTGTAGTATTTACCATGCTTCCTGTTTTTCCTCCAAAATAAGGTTACAAGTTTCTTTCAGACCAACATTTCTGAAAGAGGAATCTGAAAGTAAAAAAAAAGTCTCTGAAGTATTTTTGGTTTTTGTTTCCAAAAGAACCAATCCAAAAGGATATAAAGGATTTTCCCGCAAAAGATGCCTTTAACAAATTTTGTGTTCCATGTTCTACGTGCCCATAATATAAAATTGTTCTTTACGACAAAATATGAAATTATAAATTTAAAAGCATGTCACGTGCTACCCATCGAGTTTCAAGAATTTACTTCGCTAATGCCAGAGCCTTGACTAATTAGTGCGTGCTCCTGAAACCATAAAGTCCTGTCGCAACCCCAAAGCAGCAGCTTCAGTAGAATCATAAATAAAACATTCAGGATTTCTTTTAAAATATGTTCTACTACTCCCTATGTGGGGGCGTGTCTATGAAAATATTTGCAAGTGTTCATTAAAAATGTTCGCTTAGTTGATGCGGAAACTATGAAGAACAACATATTCTGTAAAGGATATTTTTGTTATCACTGAAGATTTAAAACGAAACTTACTTTATAGACCTTAAGAGGTAGTTCTATTTATTTATAAAAATTAACAAATATTTTAAACCTTTGCTTAAATTGTAGTTTCTAAATGGAGTTCTTCTGTTTGGCCAATTGTGCGTAAAAGTGTTTTGAGCCAATTTCGTCGCAGGCATGATTTACGGTCCATTGGTGTTGGCCATTTGTGCTGCAATCACATTTTCAACCCCAAAAACGAATCAAGGTTTGTGGTATTTCATTGACGTTAAAAAATTTTGATTTCGTTTGTGGAAATAATAGGAGTTTCTATGGCTTTTCCCTAATTCAGGGCGCCACATGGAGCTTACATATATTTAGGGTTTAAAAGAGTTGAGGTATTTTTAGGACTACATGCTACGAATATTTTGAACTAGTCTATTTACAAAATATTTAATTATTTATGAAAAATAACTCAACTCTTAAAATTATCATCATTACTTTTATGTATAGTTTTAATGACCTCTGATGGCATACCATTATCATTATACCACGAAAAAATCATCGAAATAATAATAATATAGACACGGAAATGATTCGAACCATTTTTGATAACCTCTCATTAGAATCCTTGATATGTCTGCCACGCCTTCCCCGATGGCGTTGCGTCGATAAGCAGCCAATCGGGTCAACAATACGCCCAGGACCCTGGGCTAAGGGGCAGTTGCAAAAGTTTGGACAAAGGTCCCACAACTTGGCTCATTAATTATGGAAAGCCAAAAGAAAATAAAATGCGCTGAAGGAAAATTTGTCAAGGACTTGGACGTCTCGACACTATTGTTGAGTTCAATTGCTTGTTTGCCATTTCCGGGTGTATTAGCCATGATTTACCAATTTATTAATGTCATTAGCGAACCTAAGAGAAAAACTTTGCTGCTCTTATTAGCTAAACTACCAACATAATTAATCATTTATATATTTTTATTATTTATAAATTTTATATACCCCAAGGCCCGAGTAGCCAAGAAGCAGCGTTTCTGCTCAAGATTTGGCCAAGGGTTCTCAAAAGTCATTTATCATTGATAATTCTTATAAGGAAGAGAGACTCGACTCCAATCGCAAAACCAATTTAAAGTAAATTAGCGCAGCCTCAAATTCCTGTCGATTCAGGGATGTCCTGGAATGGGGTGTAGGGTGTGGGCCACGCAGGTGGGTGTACTTTAGGCCAAACAATTGTGGCAACTCAACTTGTCCGAAACTTTGAACACACACATGTCGCCGTCTCCGTGGCTGTGGTGGCCTTTTATTCCCTATCAGATCACGTACGGGCGCGTGGCTTAGAGTCCTGTTGCCCTCCTGAAGCCCCCTGTGTCCTGCCAACAAAGAAGAGAAGGCCCTGGGCTAAGGGAAAATAGTGCAGACGTTGCGCCTTGGAATTTATTGCACGTGGTAAGTTGGTTAGATGGGTTGGACTGCAGATTAGACGCCCTGATAGACACAAAATGCTTTTCCTCGAGTTAAACTTAAGTTTAGACATGGACTTGAATTTATTGCACGTTAACTGCGCCCCTGAATTGGGCCAGGACGGGTCCGGACTCCGGAGAGAGAAAGAAGCCATGGATGACATGCTTTCTGTTTGACTAAAGTGTTGCCTACATTCCTGCGCTGTTAGATAATCCAGATGTCAGTTGAGTTCAATGCAAAGCTATAGTTCCTGCGGTTTGCTTAATGGCACCTACATATATGGACATTTAAAAACGAATATTGAATATCAAAACTAATTTTCGTAAAATAGTTTAAAGCCTTTTCCCTCCCTAGTTGAATATAGCAGCAGCTATGCAAAACTTAAACAAAAAACTAAAACAATTATCTAAACCCAACTGGGAACTGGACGCCAAGTTGCTCCCCAAACGAAACAAACACGAAAAGTCCTTCATGGAACTTACCCGGGTTGCAAAATACTCGAAAATCCCTCAGGATTTTGTGCACTTTTTGGAAGACGAATTTTTTAAACAATTCCCTCCCACGCTTGATTTCTTTCTTTTGGATTTTTTGACTTGCTGACTCCGAGGCGGTTACTTAAATTTTCTTATGGTTTAACTTTTTGATATTTTAAGCCAGATTAAAGAAGCTTACAAGTCGCACAGTGGTATAGGGAACTTGAAAGTGCCAAATATTTGCCAAAAAAAGAGTCATTTTTGTATTTGGTAGTTATTAGTTATTTTGATTTCCAATCGCAATGAAATATATATTTGTTCGTTATAGCCTTTTATGCCGTTGCGTAAGGTATTGTAGTTTTGGTCCATCTCTGACGCCATAAAGTATATATATTAATTTCTCTCGGCGTCTTTGGTCCCTAGTCCAGGAACCCTTCCTCCTATTAACCAGGGTTCTTAGACCAGGACTATATCGGTTCTATCCTCAGCCAGATGTTGTCAAGTATCGATTCTGAGCTTTAACTTTATAATCATCTCTTCTTTCTATTTATAGACTAGATCTTATACCTATACCTGACATATAACTGCACAATCCTAACATTGCTGTTTTTAAAGATAGAAGATGGGACTTTGACTGGCTTTAATTTTCGGTCCCAAAATTTGTTATTCAAAATGGGCTTCACAACACTCGGCCGACTATATATTTTCTACAAATAGAAGCTTAAACTAGATAACTTTCTCGATGATAAAAATGAATTAAACTCTATTTTTACTCTATTTAAACTCTATTTGTTTTTAAACTCTAAATTTAAACTCCTACTTGTTTTTATAAAAATAATACCCACTGTTAGCCTCCATCCAGTTGGACCTTCGTTGATGTGACATTGCTTAGCATAATCTACTTTCGAGTAGCCACAAGCAACACCCATGTGTCCGTTTAATCTTTGCTAGTGCGTATTTGTGTCTGCGTCGGAGTCCTGCCGCAGGACAAACTGTAATTTTATGCAAAGAAAATTCTGTAAAACGTTATGCTCCTCAAGATTATGGTGTTATTGTCAGTCTGCCTTTCTCTTTATATAAAGACTATAGGAAAGTTTTATTTTTCATAGAAATTTAATATTTTGTTTATCTAAAATATGAATAAAACTTAAATCAAAATAATTACTAAATAAAGTTTAAAACTAGCTGACAGTCCCTTGCTAATATGCATCCCAAGAAGCGAAATGAAAACTGTGGAAGACTATCGTGTTTGTCGCAGATAGTTTTACAAACTTCGAGAAAGAAGTAAAGTCTTTAACTCGGTCAGATGCAGCATTTATTTTGCTGCAAGCTGTTAATTAAATTTTGTTTTAAATTCAGCTTGCCGCAGTGGCAGTGTCGCCATGCGGCTTTTGCACCAGGATTTCTTCATTGAAAAATCCACAACTAATTAGGAAACCTTCAGGAAGTGAATGGAGTACGGCACGTAGATGCGACAGGTCTTTAGTGCTGGATAAGGTATGAGACTTTACTTTAAAGAAGCTTAAGCTTCATTAAATATTTCAAGCTATTGGAAATTGAATATCCCTGTTGTCTTTCGTATTAAAATGTAATTGGGCGTTTAATATTTCAATCAGAAATGTCGGCCAGCGGACAGTAGCCAGCATGTTGACACACTTTTCACCTTATTTGGCTTGGAATTTTCACTAATTGTCACCTTCATAAGAGACTGGCGAAAACTATTGACATGCATTTGAATAATTAATGCTGATTGGTGGGAGAAAGTGACAAAGGCATTCGCATAAATAAAATATACGTTGCATGAATGGCGAGCAAATGCAAACGTGATTTGATTACTTGACTCCGGTTTTATCTCTGTGATATTGAAGTCAATACAGTAAGTGTCCGGGGATGGACGAACGGAATGGAATAACCACCCCAATGGCCAAGGTAACCATTTGAAAAAATCACTCAAGCGTAAGCTGTTGATGTCCTTTAATGCAAAGCACTAGGTCGTTCAAAATTTGCATTTAATGAGGTTTTAGTTTAGGAGGAATATCCCCACCAAATGCTATGGAATTCAATTAAATGTAAATTGTATGCAAAACGCCGGGCATTCGCGGAGCATTACTTGGAACTTAAATCTTAAATAAATGATAAAAGGGATTATCGTTATAAGGTAACTTCTAATCAAGACATGTTGCAGTAATCGTCTTTGATTTTACAGGTCTGTAACCTTTTAAATTACTTATTCATTTTCAACCATGTAGCATGTAGAGCATGTATTTCGCAGCTCGTGGCCCCATCAAGGAAAATCGCAACCGCATTTGAGCATTTTCACTAATTAAACCGACACGAAAGCCGCAATAGACACACATAAGTACACGGCTTAGGGTAATGCCCATCGCAGCGCGACACCTGGCATACCTTTTTTGTCTATTTAAAATGAGATTTCGTGTGCTTGGCATTCGGTTGATGGCAGTCTGTAGATTGGTTTTCAGGCCCGGCCCCACTACTCCTAGCTTCTAACCGCCAGTCTCCCCAATTCCCTCCTTCAACGCCGGCAGGTTGCGGCGGCAACTTTTGTCCAACTGTCACCTGCAGAGTCGTTTGTTGTTTTTTTTAATTAGCACTCACCTGAGCGAACTAGAGATCCAAATGCTTGTCATGCGAATCCAGAGGATATACTCCGCCGCCTCCGGGCAGTGGGGGCCGTCGTCGCAGATGCAGTTGAGCAGCGTCGTCGTGATGAAGCCGTGGCTTGGCCTCCCCAAGCGGAGCACTTCGATTGCCAGCACTACTACTGCCACCGCGTAGCCATTGTCGGTAGGTCAGCTCCGGCTCCATGTTCCAGAATTTATGAAAGGACACTGGCGGCTGCAGCTGCAGAAGTTCTCGCGCATAGTCCTGCGGCCGAGCCTGATGCATTCCGGCCACTGGTACCGCCGCCACGCCCAGCGCCTGCAGGCAGTAGCCCAGGATCATGTCGTCCGGAGCATTGTCACTCGGACAACTACAGCGCTCCACGACGAGGCGCACCAGAGGCAGGCTGAGCAGGATGCCGGCGCCTCCCGTGTGGTAGTTGAAGCCATCCGGGGCGTGCAGGCGGTAACCGTAGCGCTGTCCCAGATACATAAGCTCCCTGTGGTCGTGGTAACTCAGCAGCTCACTTAGCCGGGGCACACTGTACCCTCGTCGATGAGATGGTGGCAGTGGGTGGAGAAAAAAATTGCGTTTACAGGATAAGAACGATTTATCAATACAAATATTTTAATTGAATGCGCCTTCATGCATTTAATCCGCAAAAATAAAAATGAAATGATGTTCCTGCCAGCAGGAGTGGCTTTGATTGGGTTTTCAGGGTCTATTACGGCAAGGATTTTAAGGATATAAAAGGGGTATTCAAATATAAACAAAATTAATAATAATTATTTCCAATTGAAAGGTTTAAGAAAGAAACTTAATTCTAAAACCTGGATGTTTCAAAATCATTTCAAGCTTGCGAAAATCTTTAAGGACATCCTTTAAACCACCGGAATTCCTCACCTCAGCAGCGTATCATCGTCTACGAGCATGAGCCAGCGTATGTCCATTTGCTCGCCAATATCCTTGAGGGATAATTGTAAAATTGCCATTGTTTTGGCACAATGTCCAGTCTGCACGTTCGGTATGCCAGTGCTGATTGTCGGTATGCTGACGTCTGTTGTGGTTTTTTGGTGGTGGGGAGGATGGGGAATCGCAAAGTCAAATCAATGAATATTCAATAAGTAGGACTTCTGGGCGAAGAGTGCACCAGGGGCAGATGGTACAGGGGCGGAGGTGAATTGTATGGCACACACAAACAAGCACATCCACATCCTGGGTTATGCATGTGAGGAAGTGTGTTTTGTTTCCCTGTGACTCTGCCTCATCATGTTTTTGTTAATGTGATGCTCACATACATATATTGGAGTGGTTCTTGTTTGAATCATCATTAAATCTAATCCTTAAGTTATATTTTATTAAATGATTTGAAGTTTATCAAAGCCTGTAATACTTTCATGTCAATGAATCCTGCAATACAGGTCGTATGAGTAATATTTTTTTTAAATCTATATATGTATCTTTAAAGTTTTAAATAAAACCTCTTTAAAGCCACCCTAACAAATGGATAATTGTGCCAGTGTGTGATGCCTCCTTCTCATCCACTATCGTGCCTCATCTGCCCCAATGGAATCACCCACATTTGCATTAATTGCCCGCTCACCTGCCACGTCGCTGTAGTATCTCCGGTATCGGGCGTCGCCTGCCCAGGTGCGTTCGACTATCGGAATGCGTTCCTTATGGAATTTCGCACAGGTTTTGATTGCGAAATATATGTGCGATCCGGTTGTGTGGAACTGTGAAGTGTGGGCCAGTGTGGGTGGGGAACAGGACGAGAGAGGTGGAAGGTCGATAAGCATCAAGTCGAAGCCGATACTGAATTTATGGTTATGTAGGTTTCAAATACTAATTGCTAGGAGGGGAGCATGCTACCAGAAAACCGCATAGGATTCTTGTTTTCCAAGAATATGTACCTTTAATTTGGAGCTCTTAACTGGGGTCTCGTTTCTATACCCTTGCGGAGTGTAGATATTTTGAAATCTTATAAAGAAGGCAAGGGAATTAAAGGAACAAAGCCACAGTTAAAGGCTTTAAGTAACTCCTGATTTTATAGATTATTTAAATCCTTTTTTTGAATAAATGGCTCACTTTTACTTCTATTATTTAAAACATTTCTTTTAAAAATAAGTTAAAAAGACTATAATATATAACATAAATGTTTTCACTTAGTTTTCATTACTTCACCAATTAGAGCATCGGAATATAAAAAAATTCAAAGTCACTTTTCAAAACACTTTTTATCTTAATCAAAAACCTGTTAAGATGATATATGGGTTGGAAAATAATGCCCCTGCAACAAGGGCATAAATAAACTCACACAGGGCTCCTTTCGATGCCCCAGAGTCGAGGGCAGCCAGCCAGATGGCTCCTCTGATGTTGCATGCATTGCACATGGAGGAGTCGCTCCGGTCACAATCTCCGGGGATTTCCTCGCCCCAGCGATGGGACAAATGTAGGCGGCATTTTTCAGAATGATTTTCCCAGACATGGCTCTGCTGTGTGCCGGGTCCTGCGATAAGTTGTCGAATAAAAAGCGCGCCAGCTCATGAGAGGCATCGATGGAGAACTCGCTGGGTCGGCTGCTGTTATGGGCATTAGGGGCAACAAGCTCCACAAGCCTTGAAAGAAATGATTTATTTAGTTATGGCAGGTTGACTATTTACTGTCTCAAAAGTATATAAATTTATCCTTTTAAATGGCATTATAATTTAAAAAAAAAAAGTTACAAGGATTTGAGTATAAAACGCTATTTTTATTGTTTGAACTTTATGGAAATTATATCTTAAAAAAATTAATATTAAAATATTACCTTCTTAGCAAGACACCTGTGAAGATAATTCCGGCTCTCAGCATTGGATAAGGAAACCACTGTGGATTCTTATAATGTGCAAAGTGATGTACAATGGTGGCCTCCGTATCATACAGGGCATGTCCGTAATAAGCATGCTGAGGAAAGAACCTTTACACCATCTCCGGCACGGTCAACTCCCAATGGATAACTCACCTCCACTGGGTTTTGGTGACGAAGCTGCTCGAGCAGGCCGCGCAGGGAAGCCACTTGTGTGTTGTATTGACACCATATAATCCATTCCGTGTGCGCCTTTAGAAGACGTGTCTCGCCTCCCAAATGAGGCAGTGCGTCCAGCAGTGTCCAGTAATTGAAAAGCTCGTGCAACACATGCACATTAAGGACATAATCCCCTGGGACTGTCCCAGCCTCTTCCATGTGCAGATACTGGACTTGTATGTTTTCTAATAAAGTGAAACACTGGGCCTGAGCATGACGCGGAAGCGGTGGGCAGGCGATAACTAGGAGCACTTCCCGTGGGGGATCCCCCTCCGGAGACCCAAGACCACAGCTTACAAAGCAAAAAAACCACAGTAAAATGTGGAACACATTAGTTTTCGCTTCGCTAAACATTACTAATTTTATTTACAAGTTTTTAAATTTATATTTTTTAGAATGAAAAAATCATTTGGAGAGAAAAAGTACGCGTCCTGCCAATGGAACGTGTGAAAAGGTACTGAGGCAGCTGTGATTTAATTTTGGCGCAAAGCCGAAATTAAGTGTGGCTGTTGGACGTGGGTGCGGGGCTTTGGGGTGCGAAGTCCTACGCGCAGGCGTCTCCTCGGAGCAGAGTTTATGAATGAAACGTCCAGGTGCACGCCACAGGTTGGCTATGCCAACGAGCTTTATTATCAATGCTTCTCATGGGTATGATTTTATGGATTATTATATTATTGTGGAAATTTATTCCAATTTTGATTAATGTTACAAGGCAGTTGTAATGTTAAAGTAATTTAAATTAAAGCTAGATTTTGGTAGATAAATTGCATACAAGCACATTTATGGATTAAACACATGCAGTATCCCTCCCGGCCAAACGAACTGTTGTCATACGCGGAATATTTGATACTAGGTTACATAAAATATATTTATCCGTACGTTAAGAAAGGAATTTTAAGAATACTATTAGTGCATGGGCGAGGCCAGTCGAGTTGTCGTCTGCATGCTGTTGCTGCGATTGGTTATCTTCAGCCGCAGCTCGTTAACCTGCTTGAAGAGCTGATCCTGCCTGGAAAGGAGTTCTCGTGTGCGCAGAAAACCATGCTGGGGAGCACTCAGGCCGGGGTTCCACCGGCAATACAGGCCCTTCCACAAGCGCAGCGTTCGCACACTGGCATTGGGGCGCAGAACAAGCTCCGGTCCATGGGTAAACGATGGAAACAGGGGGTTTAAATACTGATCCAATGAGGAGTTAATGTGCGTCCACAGAGATACGGTTTTGTGCTTTAGGTCTGCAGGAAATTCAGATTAGTTTTTTAAGGGAAAAGCAATTGAAGAACTACTCACCTTCGGCTACCCGTTCCGCTTCAGTGTTACAAAGGAACGTGCCGAACCGGCATGAGTACAGATGATCCACGATTGTTATGAGGAAGTGTTCGTTGAATTCGAAGGCGTTGCTGTACTGCTGACTGACCTGCCACACGCAGTCTATGAACTGAAGGAATACTGGCGAGCGGTCTGCATCTGAATGTTTGTTGTCCCCATGGCCTACCCGCTGCTGGAACTTGTGGCCAAAGGAGAGCCACTCTTTCTCGATAAGAACCTCAAAGCCACGTACAGTACGGTAGTAGGGATCGAGCAGCAACATGGATAGGGCAGTAAGCTGGGCTGTGCGATCCCAGCCATCCGAGCAGTGCACCACGACCGAGGTGCTTAGGGTCTCAACCTTGTCAACAATTCGAACGGCGCCAGCAAGGATGCAACGGATGTGTTTCAGCCAAAGAGTGTTGTCGATGGCGGTCTGCCACTTTGAGTCATCCGTGGTGGGAAAACAGGCCTCCTTCACCTTGCGAAGACTCTCGCGCATTACGTGAATATTGTGTATGTCAAGAAAGTTGATTTCCACAATCTTGTAAGCATCCTCCGATTCGTAGCCGCCACCCTTGGCTTTGTTGGCGATGGCATTGGCGCTGGGACGTGCGTCCATGATGGTCAGTTTATCCGATTGGGCGTTGGCCTCCATAATATAGCTGAGATAGGTTTCGTCGTCCGCATTTCGCTTGCCACTAACCCCAACCAGAGGCTGAGAGCACCGTGTTATGGTGGCCTGCGTCCGTGGATTCATCCATGACAGCACTGGTAAACGACATCTCGATCGGAACTGAGCCACTCGACGAAGGAAATCATCTGAGGCAGCTTTGGGCACAGCCCACACTGCCGGATAGCTGTCACAAACTGCGTACGATTCGTTTATCTTGGTTGCCCGCCACATATCATTCGGCACACCCAGGCGCCGCAGCTCAGCCAACGGCTCGTACACTGCCCAGCCGTCCCAGCCACCGTTTCCATTAACAGCATTGGCCGCTGCGTGCGCAAATGCGAAGAGGCGGCCGCTGTAGGACAGTGGAAAAGCATTAGCCTGCAGCTTCTCAAACACAGTCCTCCGCGAGTGGTTCTGCTGCTTGTGGGCGAAGCGCAGGTTTCGCATATCCTTGCAGAAAATTTCAATGCCATAGGAGTTCTCGCCCCTTGACGTGGCGCCTCCGATTTTCTCCACCCTTGCTATCACACCCAGAGGAACATCTACGATTACGGGGGGCTCCTGGTCGCGCAGCGGAAGCGACCGGAAGTACAGGCGGTAGTTGGTTATGGTCAGGGCCCCAAAGACCGGCCCGCGGTAGGGACAGACATGAGTGACATCGTTTTTCTGGTCTTGGTCCTCTTCGCCGTCCAAGTAATTAAAGGGCGTGTCGCGCAATATTCCATTCTCTCCGCCTCCGTGCTTGGAGCCCAGGGAGCTGGACTTCGAGCTGCTGTCCAGCGAGTTGCTGCTGGCCGTCTTTGAGGCCAACTTGTCGACTGCGCTCGCGCTGGGATCCATGTAGAGGGATAGAATTTTACGCGAGTTTCGAGTTTGGGGTCAGAAATATCTTCTGATTGTAAATTAAATGCGATTTACCAAAACAATGATACTACCGACCAGTGCTGCCAGATCTATGGTTTTACATCGGCTACACCAGGCAGCTCTAAAATTGGTATTTTTAGTATTTTTGAAATCGATGAAATCGACCGATAAGTTTAAAACAATCGTTTTTTGAGCGCCAGTTTTAATATTTCATAAAAACTTCACACGCAACATGAATAAAACAACAACCACTTAAGACCAGAAGCTGGTTGGCCTTTGACCTTAATAGCTTAAGGTTTAAAATTGCGCTGTTTTAAAGTAAGGTTAATTTTTTTTTTATTAGCCCATGTAAATGGGTACATAAAATGTAAATCTATAAAAATTAATTTTAATTAAACAACAGATTAAACAACAAAAGGAATTCCCAGACCACGTTAAGAAGAATACAAAGTCTAAATTTTTCTCTTGCTTGAAATTTTAGATTAATTCAAAATAAGAGCGTCAAACGTAGGAGTCTATAAGTAGGAGTCTATGTTTCAGAGCCCGTTGAGAAAGATATGTATTATAGTTAAGTACATTTTGTGCAATAAAATATATAAAAACAAGTTCATTTCGGGAGGTAGTTTTTTACGTACTAGTAGTACATCATTTTCTTTTTGGGGTGTGAACTCATCATTGTCCATACTGGGATCCGAAGGCGGCTTAACTTAACTCGAAACTTTTAATATTTTTATTTTTCAAGAAAGAAATAAGAAGTAGAAACTTCTTACTTGGAAAATAAAAAAAATATTGTTTTTTAATTGATATTTATTTGTATTTATCGTAATTTAAATTATATATTATAATCTTTAAGATAATTAAGTTCTAGATGATCGATTATATTTACAAATGAATCAAATGTTAACTATGTAGTTTAAGTAAATTTTCATTTCCACTGTACCAGAGGAGATTCGTAATTATTGTACAATGTTTTGAATAAGTCGTAAGCCAAATTAAATACAACTCAAGCCTCTGTTTAAAACATAAAATAAGTTAAGAATTTCTAATGAAAAGCGGCATAAATTAGGCAAATAAATAAATCAGATTGCGAAGTTCGAAATGCAGTCACTGGCAATAAAATTTGTAATTAAAATTTACAAATAACCAAAACTAACTCTAGAGTAAACCTAACTTATATGGCAGTGAAGGGCTAAAAATAACTGGCTCTAAACTCGTTATTGATCACAATACATTTGGAAAAGTTTTGGTGTGGCTTCAACAGGAACCAGAAACGCCCCAGGATGCGATTTAGGTCTCATCGCTGGACACGAGGCATTCGCTAAGTAGGACATTTCGCAGATCCTCCATATCGATCCAATCCCGTCTCTCGTTCCGTACGGACACATGGCGGATGCAGCCCTTGAAGTTTTCCCGGGCCATTAAGGATCCACTTGGAGCAACGTCTGTAAATATAGATTTATTTGAAGGATTATATGTCAGATCTGAGACTCTGTTCTTGACAGCTACCTGGCAGCCCGCCAATATAGAGTGGCGATCGGGTTTGCACTTTGCCGGAAGTCCTTTGGTTATCCACACTTATTACGGCTGGGAGCTGGTCGATCCGCAGGACGATTTGTTCGCCATCGTACAGAGCCGACACATTGTGCCACTTGTTGTCACAAAGGGCATACTTTGTGGGCAACGTCGACTCCACTCGCAAAGGTACTCCATCGCCCAGGTCACAGGAGAATATAATCTTTAAAAAATATTTGGCATATAGCATGGGAATAAATACTTTATTTAAACTTACATTGCCATTATAAAGCTCCAAGGACAAGGCGGGGAAACCATTAGGCTCGGAGACGCTCAGCAAAATTCCCGATAGTTCCGAGGTTCGAAATTCCGTTTCCAGGTCGAGGTACTTTCCCACATTAAAGTTTTTTTCTTTAAAAATAATAGAATATATAAAGATCCTTTTCTAGTTTTCTTTATCAACTCACTGTATATGGCGTAAGCATCGCCGGGAAAATAGCTGCCCCGCTCCACGGATGGAAAACATTGACCCACGTTGGAGTGTTTGCCGGGCCGGGCCAGGTCCTGGGTGTGGTTGTTGATGCTGACACGGCGGAGGCAGCCCTTGAAGGACTCCAGCCGGGCGTACAGTTCTGCCGAGACCTTGACGGGAGACTGGGGCAGCCCACCGACCAAAAGCAGTTGGGAGGCTCCGATTTTCTTGGGCAGTTTCATTTGGGCGGAGGTCTTCTGATCGGTGCGACCGATCTCCACCGACATGGTCACCTTCCGGTCAACACAGCCTATGGTGACCCGGTGCCACTCGCCGTCGTTCAGCTTGGCGGTCAGCTGGAGCTCGTCCCGCCGACGACCGCGCACCACCAGGACCAGTTGGCCATCCTTGAGGAGGAGGGCCACATAGTGCTTAGGCTTCTCCTTGCTGCCAGGGGAGAGGAAGATCATTCCGTTGGGATAGAATGACCGGAAGTCGAAGCTGAGACGGAAGTTGCGCTGCCAGAAGTGGCGATCCGGCAGTTTCAGTTGGGAGTAGCTGTAGATGTCGTCGCCGAACTTAAAGGCATTTGGCTCGTAGGAGTAGCTGCCGATCTGAAAGGAAGAGAGAGACGTAAGTCCGGGCCTAGGTTGATCCCGAATGGAACTTAACTCACCCCGACGACTTTGTGTTAGTTTCTGAGCTTTGCGCTGCGATCTCTCAGCGAGTTAAAGAATAAAAACTTGGCATGATTTTGTTTGTTTTTCGGTTTGTTATAAAAATGTTTTATTTAAGAAAATGTGATAACAATTAAATGTTCATGTTGCAGTAAGCAAATGTTAATTGTATGATACATTCGTGAAGGCAAAAACGTACACAAAGCGTTGATGAGTGATGTGTATGACTTGAATCAGATGGCACTTACGAACTAGATTGCGCTTTGGAGCAGATCTTATAAAATAGCAAGTAAATTGGTATGAAATATTTACAAAATAGTGTCGTATAGATGATTATTAATTAATTCGAATATGGCGCGATTTGAATAGATGTTGTTAAATGAGGGCCAGGAGCTTAAACCAATCTTAAAACTAATTCTGGGAGCTATGCGATCGCAAAAGGGTCTCACTTTTAGGAAGTGAACTCTTCTGAGGTCCTGCTCTAGCGGGCCATTAACTTAAACCTTTTAAATGCTAGAACTGAGGTTATATCTTTGATGATGGTTGGTTATATTAATCCACATGTAGACCACATAGAGTAGCTTGTTTGGTTAGCGTTTGTTTTGATTTTTAGGCGAAATTAGTATACAAATGAGCTTTCTTGAAGCGCAGCGCTTGAAGCTTTTAGCGTAGCCGCTTTTGACATAATTGCTTAGCAACTAAAATCCTATAAAAACAAAGAGAAACGATTCAGTTTAAATAGAGTTAGGCAGCCACGAATTCACATGCATTAGATGGAGAGAGCCCAGCCCCAGTCCCCCCAGCCATGACCCCTTTAAGTGTAAAACCGATCCAGACAAATAGTTGCGTTTTGGCCACTTACCCGCTTGCAGCCTTCGGGGGAGGCTGTGAAACTCTTTCCGATCATGGGCTCCGTCTTCAGCAGGACATCGTAGAGCCCGCTCTTGAGGCTGCCCATAAGGGGACCGTTGCGCCCGATCTGAACGTTGGCGAATGTCAGCGCTTCGTTGAAGTTAACAGTTCGATTGTTGAACACCACGTCCCGGATGGCCCCCTCTAGATTTACAAAGGTCGGGGCCAGTGGGGTGTAGCTCTCGTGGGGCGGTGCTCCTCCAATGTAGAGTCCTCCGGAGTCATGGGGCAAGCTGATCACAGTGGGGCTGCCGGTCAGACTGCGCACTTCCTGCAACTCGTCGTCCACCATCAGCTCCAACTTGCGGCCCGTCTTGACCAGGTTGATCACGTGGAACTCTCCGTCGTTGAGCTGGCTGAAGTTTGAGTACATCTTGACAAAGCTGCGACCGGAGTTGACCCACACGTTGAGTTGACCATCAACCAGGCTCATTGAATAGTTGCCCTTTATGTCCTTGGAGTCGTAGTCCTCCTGAACCTCGGGGGGATAGGCCGCCAGGAGCAGCAGGCAGTCCGGCTGAAGAGTTCTAAACACCAAGGCCGTGTTCGAGCGCTTTCGAAGCGACTGAGATGGTAGCTCCAAATAACCATTGCCCGAGAAGCCAGCCCTGAAGTGGAATGAATATGTTTCAGTAAAATCTTCTTAAATTCCTAAATTTTTACTCACTTGGTAAACATATCCTTGCAAGAGGGCTCCACGCCATAGAAACTGGTACTTTCAAGCGGGTCATATGTCTCGCCGTTCACCTGGACATCCTTCATGCAGCCCAGGAAGGGATTATCTGCCCCTGGGGCTTTGGTGGTGCCCGAAGTGAAACCTTCAGGGAAATAGCGTATTAAATATATTGTGTTGCTATAAGCATCGAAATACTCACCTGGAGGCACGCCACCCAAATAGTAAACTGCCTTGGAAAGATCCGGTAGCATGTGAATGTTTATGGGCAAAGTAGGTGCTCCAGAAATGGGACGATCGTTGTTTACACGCAGCATTCCATTCTCAGTGCTTCGCTTGGCGGAGAATTCGCGGGCAGCCTCGATTTTGATCCACTGACCCACATTGTATTTCTTGGTGGTGTTGATCTCTAGCTTGGACTCGTCGCCATAGTCGATACGGAACATGATCCGACCCCGGCTCAACGTAACCGAAACCGAGCGGTTCTGTAACAGAAGGTTTAAGATTATGTCTCATCTCATAGGATTTTGACCATCATAATACTTACGTTTTTGTCATCAACCGCCAAAAATAGCAAGGCATTCTCGTCCAGGGTTCGGAAGGTCATCTGCACGGAGAACAGGTTCCTTCGGATGGGTCTGGGACGGGTCTTCATGAGCTGGGCATAGCCTAGGCCATTAAAATGCCTGGCGGTGGATGAGGCCGATGACTCCCTAGCTCCAATCATATAGCCTCCGCAGTTGCCCTCGCTCGTCGCAAAGTTCCACAGTCCCAGTGGCTTGTTGTCCACCTCCACCTTGTGCACAACCACATTCAATCCTGGAGTTAGTTGCAAATCTTTGGAGGCGAAGTCGCCAAGAGAAATACGATCATGACGGGATTGGTAGAAGCGCGTGTGTTCTGTGTCCGTGGAACCAGTGATTGTGACTGGACTGGCGGGAGTCAGCTCCCCATAGTTGTTCATCCTTCTCACCATCAGGCTGCCCAGGTTAAGGGTTCTATTGGCCTCCACATGGTACCAGGCGTCGTCATACTTGGGGTCGCGGGTTTGCACCACCATTGGATGCGTGATGGTGGCAGTAGTGCCACCTAGATTCCAAACCAGTCGGACTCGTCTCTTGTAAAGTTCCAGGGTGATGTGACGTCCCTCACTGCCCTGGACCTGGATAAGGGGTGAGCTGCCTTGATGGTTCGCCAAAGCGAAGCTGACCCGCAGATTGTTGGAGGTGCTCAGGCCATAGGAGGCTGGGAGGTAACTACGACTGCACTTGGGGCCCTTGGACTCCAGCGAGACATCGATCTGTAAAGGACAAGAATTATTGGATAAGATATTGGATATAACAAGAATTAAGTGCAATACTCACTCCTTCAGCTGCATGTCTGGCCTTGGCTACCAGATCCCTCAGCTGCTGAAGCTGCTGAGCCATGCTGTTGTTCCAGACCTCGAACACCTCCTGCTCCTTGGCTGCCTGGTGTTCCAGGTAGCTTAGGAGAAACGTTGGCCAGTCGAAGATTGGTCTTGGTCAGGGATATATTCTCCTGGGCCATGCCCAGCTTAATTTCCCAATCGGGCTCCAGAGTGGAGAATGACTTGCGCATATTTTGTATGGACTCCTGAATACTCCTGGCCATTTGGAGATCAGCCCGCATTTGCTTGCCCGTCCGCTCCGCCGAATCCAGGCTCTCCTTAGCCTGCCGACGGGCAGAGCTCTCGGCAAGTCCCTGCAACTGTCCGGAGATGACGTTGGTTCGTCGTCCTGCGTCGAATATGGTGGCTTTGATTCCCTCCACCCGCTGCTCCTGACGGTGCAGCTTGTCCTTGAGGACATTTGACTTGTGCATCTGCTTCAGGGCCTCCTGCTGCAGCTGCTTAGACCTGTAGAGCGAATGCTTGGCCCGATCAATCATGGAACCGCCGTCGCTGGGGTAGAGGGTTCTCTGGGCCTCGTACACCCGTTCCTTGGCCAGGTGGGAGGCCTGGCGGGCGTCGTTTATGGCCTTGGTTATGTTGCTGTGGGCCGAGCTGGCCAGCATGGCGATGCGAGCTCCATTCCTGGTGGACTGAAACTGGCGGGCGTACTCGTTCGACCGATCCTGCAGATGCTGAGCATGCTTTTCAGCCTTGGGCAGCCAGTGCTTGCGAACCTCGCGCTGCTGCTCCAGCTTGACACCCAATGTGGCGTTTAACAGGACCGCCGATCCATCCAGTCGGTTCAGATGCTCGTTGAGCACCAGCTGCCTTTGGAGGGTCAGCCGCACCATGCCCTCGCCTCGTTCCAGGTAGTCTGGGTCGAGATGCTTGGCGATTTGCAGATTCAAGTCCCTGATGTCCTGGTGAGACTCGGTGACCCGAAGTCCAATGTTGCGCACATGCTCTTGAATGTCCTCCGTTTCGCTTTCCACTTCCAGAATGCGATCCAGTTGGAGCTGCATGTCCGTCACGCGATGGTTCGTCTGGTTTAGATCCCGCCAGAGCACCTCCAAATGGGCCCTCTGGTCGTAGGCTGCGTCGGAGGCGTTGCCCATGCCGTAGAAATGACGCCAGGCACAGTCGTTTGTGTTGCGGATGCCTTGCACCAGTTGGTCGTGCTCCTGGATGGCCTGCTGGTAGAAACGGGCCTGCTTCAGAGCCGTCGGCAGGCTCAGATGCTGAGCAGTCTTCCCATAACCGTGCAGGTCGGCAAGAGTTATCAGAATCTCCGAATGAACTTGTTTCGCATTCCGCTGCTGCGTCAAGGCATCATCCCACATCGACTTGATGGCAAACGACCGTTTTCCGATCGTACTCACAGCTTTTCGGGATTGGAACTTTAGGTTCTCAGCATGGGCATCAAGTTTGATGAGACCAGGAGTGTCATATTCATGTAGGAGTCGGCGTGCCTGGTTGAAATCTTGTTGCCGTGCGCTCCATACATCGTGTGCCCTTTCGTACTCGGACAACTTGAGATACGGAGCCGGGATGCCAGTCAGATCCATGTTGTGCATTCCCCGTCGCAGTTTGTGGCCGATCAACTCGACATAGTCCAGAAGCAAGAGGGTGCAATTGTCACAAACTGAAATAAAACAAATCATTATCTACTCTTCTCCACATCTTAGGGTCCACTTACTTCGACATCCATTATCCACAAGATGATGACGTTCTGCCTGGCACTTGTCGCACTTGAGCCCAGTGACGCCCTCACGGCAGTAGCATCGTCCGGTTTCCAGATCACAGCCCTCCGCTCGTATTCCGTCCGGATGGCAGTTGCAGGCCTGGCAAGTGCTGTTGGGATACCGCATGGGATCTCCGAAGTAGCCCCTCTGGCAGCGCTCACACAGTCGCCCAGTATACCCTGGCTTGCAGACGCAGCTCACTTCTCCGTCCCAGACATTACAGCCACGGGCAAAGTTGCGATTGGTCTCCGGACAAGGACAAGCCTGGCAGCCGTGCGGCGAATTGGGATCCCCGAAGAAGCCCTCGGCACACTGCTGGCAGTGATCCCCGCCACTATTGCTGCGACAGTTCTGTGGAAGATTTGTGGATTATACCGGTACCGGTAGTAATGATAATGAATATTTCTACATACCAGACACACTCCTGTTTCTTTATCACAATCGCTGCTACGGCCATTACAGTGGCAGGGAGCAGCTCTCCCAATCAGATCCTCGATGAACACACTCTCAACAATGGTAGTGTTGCGCCAGCGATAGAAGGATCTTCCCGGATCCTGGCAGGACAAGCCATCAAATCGTTTGGGACACCTACAGCGCTCCACGCCTTTGGCAATAAGATTGGTGGACCCTTGAACGTAAATGGCCGAATCCATGTGCACATTTTGAAGTCTATCAAATATTAATTTAGTAAATAGTATATAGTGTGTATATAGTGTTATTCTAATAATACTCACACTACTTCCTGGAAATCGGCAAATGCAAAAGCACGTATAAAGATATGGCGGATGTTCTGGAGAGCGGCCATCAGAGTGCCTCGATCCACGGCCTGGTTGTTGTGATGATACTTCCAGAAGGACTCGTGTAGCGGCACCCTGTGGGTCACATTCAACGAGTACTCGAACTCCTCGTACTCGTAAAAATCAAGAAGCAGCTTGGAGTGGGCGTGCAGTTGCACCAGAGGATACTGGGCCAGGATCTTCCTCTCCAAGGGCTTATGGGCACCCTCTGTGATGAGGGTAAAGTACAAGTAGCCACCGTAGCTGCTAATGCGATCCCCGTAGAACTGGGGTGGCAACTGGAAGTACAGTGGGTGGTAGAACTGGCCATAGGCTCCGATGGAGACATTTCCCGTCGACTTGGGCACCAGGCTCAGGTCGTTCATGCGCTGGATCTCTGCATCCTCCCGGTAGAAGCTGCTGCCCTCCATCTGAACGACCACGATGTACTCGTAGTCCCCGGTGGGCACGTGTTGGGGCCGTATCTGCTGGATGCTGAGGTTCCGGGACTCCGACATGCGAATGTGACCCCAGGAAAGGTTGCTCTGCTCACACTCCCCTGACCGACCGAAGCAGAAGCAGCGGGTGCAGCCCTCTGGATTAAAGGCGGACAAGCCAAAGGTGCTCTGCATGCAGGTGTCACACTTGAGTCCCACTACCAGGGACTTGCAGGGGCACTGGCCATTCGAGTCGCAAGCAATCGATCCATCCGGCTGGGTAAAAGAACCATCAGGATCACAGCCGCAGCGGCGGCACTCCGGATACCCGAAGTAGCCCACGGCACAGGAGTTGCAATTCCGGCCAGCATAGCCCTCTCGACACTGGCACTGCCCATCTCCAGTGCGGCAGTACTGTCCAATGGATCCTACGTGGTCGCACTCGCACTCCCGGCAGCCCAGACGCGCTTGCCAGCCCCAGGTGCCCGGGACACACTGGCTGCAGCCCAGTCCCCTTGTAAACTTGGGGCAGATGCAACGGCCATTGTGCGGGTCGCACACTTGACCCTCCGCGGTGCAAGCGGAGCAGCGCTGACAGCCTTCCGTGCTGAAGCCAAAGAAGCCTTCGGTGCACTCGTTGCAGTGCTGACCTCCAACTCCGATCTTGCAGTCGCACTGACCCGTCCACGGATTGCATTCGTTGCCTCGAGATCCATGCGGATCGCAGCGACAGTCCCGACAGCCCATACCCTCGGTGAGGTTCCAATGTCCTGGCCGACATTTGTCGCACCTCCTTCCTGTGACATTCGCCAGACAGGAGCATTGACCGGTGCGCTTATCGCAGTCAGAGGACAGGGATCCCACGTTGCTGCAGTGGCATTCTGTAAAGAGAGAAAGGTGGGTTTTTAATAAAATTCTGAACCTTAGAAAGGTATTTTTCGACAAAAATAATAGTACCAATCAATGGAAAATACCCGAAGGTACACAGGCTGGAGGAAAACAATTAATCCCGCTTATGAGAGCTTTCCCCAGCTTGGGTTACTGGGCCACGACGTCATTGTCGGTGGCAGCCAACTAACTGCACCTAAACAGCCACCAACGGCTGTTCGGAGACCCACAGAAACCACCGGCCATCCAGCCAGTTGGTGGGTTTTGTGGGTTGCGCGTAGGCAGCTCCTCGAAGCCCGCCCACATCTCCATAGAGTTTCCTATTCGGGCGACAAACGACAAATGCGACGACGGCCCAAGCGGACGATGGACGAAAAAAAAACTTTACAAATGTGGGAGACGAAGTCGTCGGAACAAGCCAGACAAGTCTGCCAAACGTACGAGTATATGGCTAAGAAGGAGGTACGTATGTATGTACATATATGCGAAAATAAATTCATTCATAAATCCGGTAAAACCAACGCAAAAAACACTTTTCAAATTGATAGCACGATCTATGTAAAAATTAAGCAAAAAATTGCAACACTTTCGAGGTGAACGACAGTTTATTGCTCTACTAGATATAAAATGTTGAGCAAATAATAACTAAAATATAAAAAAATGGTATAAGAAGAATAACATCTAGAGAGACAGTGTAGTCGCTATACCTAAGCCTGATAGGGTATCGAAAATGGATGTATGAAAATATAGAAAAGCATAGCACGCTACACGATGGGATAGGTGATAGTAGTTCCACTCCATCCAGAGACGCTCTCGGGTTAGGAGGAGAAGGAAGCTGAGCCTGCCTCGAGGCACTTGGCATATGGCTACAATTTGAAGACTATACAGTGCAGGCTGTCAAGTGCTTGCTAGAGCTCGGAAGATTTGCATTTTCATGAATGAAAAAGAGTGGCAAGAGAAAGGCCCGGGCTGCGACGAACTCCTTCAGACTGGCTTCAGACCAATAAAAAGTTCAATCAACTGACGCCATTCAGATATTTCGGCCTGAGCAAATGATGTCATTAGAGTCTACAATGAGGATCACGATTCTGCGCCATCGCCTTCGATGGTCGTGGCCCAAGTTGGAAATGCGTTGTGTCATGCCAACAGTTTGAGAGCCACTGCACACCCACTGAAGATTTATTGCGTGGGTCTCGAGTCGCTTGCCATTTGCCTCTGAGAGTTAGTTTCTAAGACTTTTGGTTTTATTGACAATTTTGTTTTCTCTGATTTTTTACTAATGATCACGTTTTGTTTTTTTTCTACCTTTGGAGCTTTTCTGGCTGACGATCGCTAGTTTGGGCCACTTTGGGCCAGTCTTGTGGCCAGAAGTCCCGTGTGTGGGCTTTTTAAGAGTACTTCCGTTCATTTAACGGTTCTTGGCTTGAATATGCGTAAAATTTGAAGGTTCCAGGTCCAGTGGGCGGCACTTCGAGTCGGTCTTTTGAATGCAAATAATAAATGACCAGTTTCCCGGGCCCTCGGAGATGGCAACTATAGACTCGATTGCCCTGGAACTACAGTCATTAGTCTCACTTCAGAGAAGGTGGCATGGCAGCCTTGGGGCATGTCATTTTCGCTGCACAACATGGCGTATACACAATGCGACTACCAAGACTGGCCATGTCCGGCCATTCAACACGGCCACAAATCAAATGCATTGCAATAAATTAACAATCAAATACTAATAATTCTAAAAATACCAATGAATTGACAGTTTAATTGCATAGTCTCTTGCATTCGGCCGCTACCAAATTATAAAAGTCCAACGAATTCTCGCATTCGGAGCATGTGTTTTGTGGGCAACATAACTTTTGTTACCCTCGACACGGCAAAATATTGATTAAATGATTTATGAGTTCGATCGCAGCACTCGCGGCCAACGTTGCGTATGAGCAATGCATGTCAGCAGCGAACGGAGTCAACTCAGAAAATCTTAGAAATGCCTGACAATCAATTATCCGAAATCTTTACAGTCCAAGTGGCAGACTTTAAATGCTCTTTGAATGAGCAATTCCCCAAAAACATTGAGTATTAAAGCCCAAAGTCTCGGTTTCAATAAAAACATATCCAACTGATGCATTGGCGATTGCTTTCCGATATTTCCACAAGTAATCAAGCGGCAATTAAGCGTCTGTAGGCAACTGCGATAAAAATCTTGTGGCAACACGCTGGCTGGCTGGACGACTGCATAAATAAATAAATGAATCAATGAACGAATGAATGAGTGAGTGAGTGAGTGAATGAATGAATTGCATTCAATTGAGTGATTGACTCACTGACCGACTGACTTGCCAGCGATTTATATATAAATTGACATTTGAAATGTCCGAAATGATGGATACAAATGTGGTTGGCTGCTTGGCTAGATTCTGTTATTGCCTTGTTAGCCGCCCACTGTTGGCCCACATTGAAAGCCGTTAAGAGAGAGTGGGGAGTGGGTAGGAGGAAGGTGGACCACCCGGCTTCAGGCCTCTTAACAGCCTCACGTAGCTAACGTTCCGAATTTCGTTATTTTCCCTCTTTTTTTGCTGCCTTAGTTAATTAACCCGTTTGCATAAATTTCGGCCCAGGCCACCAACCAAATCCTGAACCAGTTTCCAGTCTGGGCCGCCTCGTCCCGACCGGCTGTCGGGATGTTATTTATGCTTTCTTTGATCGAACTCGGCCCGGCACGTCATAATACGGGCAGCATCCCGCCGGCGAGGCCGGCTCGAATGCTTGACTCAATTGTTTTCGTGCTCGTCGTAAATTAATCGAGTATTAAGTTGGCCAGGAAATTGCATCTGACTCCTTGCTGGCTACGTTCTGGCGTGGCCGCCACCTCCTCCACTGTAATGGAGGGGTGTATTTGAGAAAATAATAGAAAAATTAATTATAGCATTTTGTTTGTTATAATAAGTGGTTTCCGAGTGTTTGGCGGTTGGTGTTTCAGCGATCAGCGGCGCCCGATAAGTGGCGGCGTCTATTAAAGTGGCCACATTAGGCCCGATCGCGTATGCAATTTATAAATATTTGTTGGCCAAGCCTCTGAGCCGACCTGATGTGGAAATCGTGTTGCAGATTAGTCGCTTCAAGTTTCATCGGAAGTCTGAGTCTTCACGATTGATCTTTGGGTTTATGGATGAGTTTTTGGGAACCATTAAAATCTGCGAGGAATAGATCAAAGTGGTGGAAACTTCATTCAAAATGCAGACACGTATTAATGATTCAATTGAATTTCCATTCGGCTAGAGAAAATAAACCATTGCCAAAATTTATAACCAGGTGAGTGATCCAGGTTCTGCTCAAAGGTTTTATCATCTAAACGACTAACGTGGGCCATAATAGAAGCAATGAAAATCTTTTGAAACTACCGACAAACAATAAAACGAAACAAAATAAATAAAAATACTCAAAGCAAACACTTGGTAACTATTTGCGCAAATAATTTGCCAGCATTACGACGAGAGAAGTCGCTTCAGATGATGTGCCGAAAGATGAGTCGAGTTCAGCACTCGAACACTAATGTTCATGGATTTCCACGCACAGACCTGTCAATAGAAGCTGTCAGTCCCGATTTCTGAATACTCTAGTGTTTCTAATGTAAAACAAGTGATAATTGCAGATACATATACCCCAAGAGCAAGTGCAAACACCTCTTTCACATAAAAATAGACACAAATAGCTGCTTCGAATGGGGTGCGCCTGAAATTTGGCACGGAGATCGGTTTTCCTCGCCATGCGAATGTGACATTTGCAAAATGTTTTTCATATTTCTCATATTTATGCTGCTTTGCAGAGGCACAACCAGCACCGCAATCTATTTCGTCTGGGTCGTGTAATTTATGTTTCCTGCTGAGGCAGTTGCGGTTGCAGAAAATGTTTCCATTTTTTTTCGGTTTGTAATTTACAAAATTTTCGGCGGCTCGCTCATTAGTCAATGACATGCTGAAAATGGCGAGAAATATTTTTTGTGGTGCATTTAAATGCAAATTAATGTGCCATTCATTTACGCTAACTGCAATCGATCATGTTCCCAATAAGTTTGACAAGCACTGGCAAAGGTCACAGCGTCTCGGATCGACTGCCGCCTCTATATTTTCCTCATAGTTGCGAAATCTCCGTTCCCCATGTGGGTAATACCAAAGTTTATGTCTTGGAAAATTGTGCCCGCATAGTCGAATTTGCATATGCGGATTAGATATTTGCACATAAATTTTATGACCACACTTGCCACTTGTCTTAAGACCTCCCCACGGTCGCTGGTGGCTTGACTTTAAAAATATCCAGCGAGCAGGCGGCGGTTTCTAAAAATAAGACATAAAACTGCAAATGGAAAAAATAATTTTCGCTTAGCCCATAAAATATTCGATTTTAGATTCCGTAAGGAAAAAATATCAGGCCATGTTCAGGATTATGTTGGGACGATAAATATGTGAGAAATACGATTAAGCATCGAAGATTTCCTGGGGGCTTTTCCAATCGCACATCGTAAATGAATCGTTTGGCCGCGACTCGATTGGCCGGCTCTTTGGAGCAACTACTTTCACACCACGGGCTTGCTATTCGCAACAGCTTCTCACGTATTTAGCCAAACTATCTCCACATGCCATAAAAACGTCAAATTGAATTTTATTTCAATTAACAAAACTATTTGCCTGCAACTGCCCTCCCTCGCTGCACGACCGATCAGAAATAAAACCAGCTACATTCAATGAATTCGGCACGCTATCTACTTTGTTTTTGGCCAACAGTTTCGGCCGGCAGCATTTTCAATTTGGCCACACGATAAACTATTCCCGGCCAGCGCAGTTAAAGGAGTCTGTGCCGTACTCCCCGAGTGGCTCAAATACTTGACGGCCATTGCTTTTAAAATTAGAAATACATGTCGCTAATAAAGATAAGTCCGGCATCGACAAGCCTTCCGTATAGTGTTTTGCGAGGGTGGCTTAAATGCAGGTCTTAAAAGTTA